TGTAAACATGGACGTATTCTATTCTGATTGAGCTATTAGTTAGACTGTTAACGGATTATCAGGCTGCATGTAAACATGGTAACAAGGTCTCCATGCCCAATGCTGAGTGTTGGCAAAGGGATATAACCCCACATTGTGATAGAAATGGGTGCAAATTTTCATTATAGCCTACATTATTATAATAATATCTTTATTTATGGAGCACAATACTGGTGGCAGCTCAAAGTGCTTTACAGACAGGAGATAATGTTTACAGTAATAGACAAGACAATAACAGATCCACCAAATCAATAACAGAAAAACACCAAAGAGCCGTAGAGTTTTAGTAAACAGCTGAGTTAAAGAGTTGCATTTTCAGATGTTTTTTACAAGTAAGCTCTGAACTTGACTGTCTAATACAAGGTGAACTGAGGTCCACAGTTTAGAAGCAGAATAACAAAAAGAGTCTCTCCATGTTTTCTCTGTTTTACAGAAGGTGTTTGCAGAAGGTCAGTTTCTGCAGATCTGAGATCATAAACAGACAGACATTCAGGAGCTTTAAGGTCATTTAGAGCTTTAAAAACCAGCAGCAGAGCTTTAAACTCTCTCCTTAAAGATCCAGGCAGTCTGGACTGTCCAAACTGCACTTCTTTCACTTCATCTTAAAAAGGTTTAACTGGAGAAATTTATTCTAATAACAGGGAACTCATGAGCTGCTGATAGATGAGTTAGACCAACCAAACACAGACATGCACCTGAGTGAACACGATAACACGTTAACACAACGTTCAGTGCTCAAGGCTCCAGCCAGAAAAGGTGAATGTGCACATCTTCAGGACCTCTATTAGAGAAAATAAACACAATTTAAATTTCAATCACAATATTGGACAGGAAAATTAGAATTAAATCACCATTTTCACACAGTGCTCGTCAATTTACGTTAATGTTATCTGTAGGTCATCAGAATTTGCCCCATACTAAATGTTACAATGGAAAATTATGTTGAAAAATACTTGGAAAAGAGCATGATGGTCTTTTCAATGAACTAGTTCCTATTAGAATGTATCCGTTTTTTGTGTCAATGTTTTTGCTTAAAAATGTCATTTTTAGGGAATTTTCAGCAAAGTGATATTTGAGGGCCTAGTCCTGCAGTATGTGATGTATATCAGTGAACATGAAATATCAGCAGAATATTGGTGTGAGTTTTTTCCAGAGGCAAAGGGCAAAACTGCCTTTGTGCACTGTTATTGTGTGGCTTGTATTAATGTTGTTATCTGGCAAACATTTTATATTTTTATTGATTTTCATTATATTTATTTTCTTTGATTTTCAAGACAAGTGCCATCACAGGCCCACAACAGACCATGGTCCCCAGTCAGTCCTCTCAAGACTCTCAACACTACACTCACCTACCTGTGTAAAAATTGATCAAAATGTAAGTCACTCTGGATAATAGCGTCTGCCATATGTTGTAAATATTTGTTTTTTTTTTATGTCCAATATTCTCTTAAAGTCTTCACCAACACCAGAGTTCAAAGGCATCTATATTTTTCCTGTCTTGCTTGTTTAATATCCAACTTTCACATCCATAAAGAACCACAGAGAAGACCACAGCCTGGACAGTTCTGATTTCTGTTTGTAGAGTTAGAGTCTAAGCTGATTTTGGAGATGCAGCTCCACATGAGACAAAGCACAAATCAAAAGAGCTAAATGTCTTAAAATGCATATAAGATCTTCTCACAGAGTGAGCAAACTGTGACACAGGGCTGCTGTCCATTCATGAAAAGTGAAAGTAGCATAAAGATCTTCATCACTTCATTCAGAAGCTGGAACTTTGAGAACTTCCACACAGGCTGTAACTCGAATGTTTGTAGCTCAGTTTGAGCTGCTTTTGGAGATTCTGATCCTTTTAGCATTTGTGAAAATGTTCTATTTGCTGGAACACAGCTGCTATGTCATCTTGATTGTCGTCATACCAACAGCAGAGGCGACCATGGTTGGTCAGTGAGTTCATGTCACCGGTGAAAGTTCGCAAAAATCAAACAGTGGGTGAATAAAATAACATCGCATTTTTGCTGTCCAAAAAATCGTGTTTGGTGTGCCAGATAGCATTGGTTATAAATGTACAAATAAACCATGCTCAGCATGCAAAGGTCTTGAAAACTGCAATTTCATTAGTTTTACAATAGATTGAATGGACCTCTGTATGGACATTTATGTATGTATACTCTTAAAAAAGACAGTTCTTCAAGGGTTCTTCTTTAGTAAAGAAAATGGTTCTGTATAGAACTATGAACACTCAAACAACCCTTTACATGATTAAATGGTTCTCTGCATGGTGAAATGGTTCTTCAGATTGATGGAGAATGTGCTGTAGACGTTAATATACAGAATCCTTTTGAAAAGGTTACTACATAGCACCAAAAAGGGTTCTTCTATTGTTACAAGCCAAAGAACCCTTTTTTGGTACTATATAGAATGCTTTTTGCTAAAAAACATAGAAGTATAAATAACATACATTTCTTACATTACATCCAGTTATACTGTAAATACTGTAAGATCTGTACTGTCAAACAGACGATGAGATGAGTTGTTTTTGCATTACTTTATGCACGTTTACATTAAACGTGTCAGTAGTGTGTGATGTTAAAGTGCACATGTGTAAGTGATCAGAGGAGAGTGCAGGACTGTGGGGCTCTAGACATGCTGCCCATTAACCCTTTATTGCCTCCAGCTCTTCTTACACACAGCACCAACAACAAACACTGACTGATCTACAAACCGCCATCAGAGAGGAGAACCATCCAGAACTCTTACTGACAATAACACTGATATGTGTTGTCATATTTTGATATTTAAATTGATTTCGGGGGTTAATGAGGTCAAAGGTCAGTTGCAGTCTGAGGTGTGTGTTTAAGAGTTGAGGGTATAATTCTGTGTTCTCTGGTTGGATAAGGTGGAGTAAGTTCCTGCTACTCTTTGCGACTGAACCCCACCCTGAGACCCCGAAATACCATCAGCACCCCCTCCCCCAGCTCCTCCAGCCTGTAACTCGATCTGGCTCCAGCAACAGTAGCGCGGGAATAACGCAGCACTGAACACTCCTTCCAGGGATACAGGAAGTGGGGAGGGCTGAGGGGCCTGCAGCACCCCCTGATTACAGGATTGCAGCTGTTAATGATAATAATAATATAATGTCCTGAACTTTACAGTAATTGGAGTGTAGTGTAGACTTGTGTATGCTTGTTTTAGAGCTGAGTTTGTACTTTTATAAAAATCTGCCGAGCCTAAAACTGTCGGCTACTTTGGGCCGCTTAAACACACACAGGCTGAGGAGCAAAGAAAGAAAGTCTGTGCAGAGACACAGAGCAGAGTCCCAATAGCAGCCTGATAATGTTTTATCGTAGACAGACAGATAGACAGACTGATAGACAGACAGATAAATAGATAGATAGATAGATATAGATAGATAGATAGATAGATAGATAGATAGATATGTACACTATATAGACAAAATTATTTGGACATCCCTCCTAATTATTGAGTTCAGGTGTTTCAGCCACACACATTGCTAAACAGATGTATACAATTAAGCACATAGCCTTGTAGTCTCCACAGACAAACACTGGCTGTAGAATGGGTCGTACTGATGAGCTCAGTGACTTTAAACATGGCGCTGTCATAGGATGCCATCTCTGCCAGAAGTCAGTTTGTGAAATTTCTGCCCTGCTAGATCTGCCCCTGTCAACTGTAAGTGCTATTATTGTGAAATGGAAGCATCTAGGAGCAACAATAGCTTAGCCATGAAGTGGTAGACCACATAAACTCACAGAGCAGGGCCGCTGAGTGCTGAAGCACACAGTGCCTATCCTCTGTTAAATCACTCACTAAAGAGTTCCAAACTGCCTCTGGAAGTAACATCAGCAAAAGAACTGTGCGTTATTAGCTTCACAAAATGGGTTTCCATGGTCGAGCAGCTACACACAAGCCTAGGATCAGAATGCACAATACCAAGTGTTGGATGAAGTGGTATAAAGCACACCGCCACTGGACTTGCAGTGCAAATGCATTCTGTGGAGTAACAAATCACGCGTCTCTATCTGCCAGTCTGTTGGAAGAGTCTGGGTTTGGCGAATGCCAGGAGAACGTTACCTGCCTGACTGCTATGTGCCAGCTGTAAAGTTTGGTGGAGGAGGGATGATGCTATGGGGTTGTTTTTCAGGGGTTGGCCTAGACCCCTTAGTTCCAGTGAAGAGAAATCTTAATGCTGCAGCAGACCAAGACATTTTGGACAATTTTCCCTTCCAATTTTGTGGGAACAGTTTGGGGAAGAACCTTTTCTGTTCCAGCATAACTGAGCCCCAGGGCACAAAGCAGCTCCATAAAGGTCTGGCTGGGTGAGTTTGATGTGGAAAAACTTGACTGACCCTCACAGAGCCCTGACCTCAACCCCATCAAACACCTTTGGGATGCTCTAGAACAGAGATTGTGAGCCAGGCCCTCTCGTCGAACATCAGTGTCTGACCTCACAAATGCTCTTCTGAATGAATGGGCAAACAAGACCACATACACACTTCAAAATCTTGTAGAAAACTTCCCAGAAGAGTGGAAGCAGTTACAGCTGCAAAGGGGGACCAACTCTATATTAATGCCTATGGATTTAAAATGGGATTCATAAAAGCTCCTGTAGATGTCCCAGTACTTTTGTCCATATAGTGTACATGCATAGACAAACAGACAGACAGATAGATAGACAGGTAGACTGATAGAGAGAGAAACACTTTATTAAAGGCAATTTCAGAGTTCCAGCAGCTACAATTATAACTTTACACGTCATTTATTAGCAGAAATCTTAAAATGTTGATGGAATAAAATAAGTTTTTGACTCCTGACTGTTAGAAGAGCAGAAGAGCTTCAGTGTCTGATGAGTTGAGTAAGAAGTGTTACGTGTGTGTGTGTTTGGGTCAGGGCGGATTTTGGGGAAACTGTGTTTATTGCGCAAACAGTTCAGAGCGGGTTGGAGACTTGAACGCGCAGCTCAGCTCCGCCTTTACTCACGAGCTTGTGTAATTGTGCGCGCTCGCGCGGAGGGAAAACTCTTTAGTTCAGCGCTGCTAACTCTCCGAGCTCGCGGGAATCTGCCCCGAGCTGCTGTAAACATGCTCGCGCAGGTGTGCGCGGTGCTGTCCGGGCTGGCGGCGCTCGCGCTGCTGCTCAGAGTCTGTTTTCCTCACTTCTGGACGGAGGTGTTTTATCTGAAGGACCTTCTGCTCGTGTTGGTCCGTTTTCTCTGGCGCAAAAGGCTCCGCCCACCATTCCTGGCCGTGGATCGGTTTGAGGAGCAGGTCGCGCGCCAGCCCGGTAGAACCTTCCTCATGTTTGAGGGAGAAACGTTCACCTACAGCGCCGCCGACAGGCGCAGTAACCGCATTGCGCATGCGCTACAAGCGCACTCGTCCCTGCGCGCGGGAGACGCGGCGGCGCTTTTCCTGCGGAACGAGCCGGACTTCCTGTTCGCGTGGCTCGCTCTGGCCAAGCTGGGGTGCGCGGCCGCGCTGCTCAATGACAACATCCGGTCCGGGTCTCTGCTGCATTGTTTCAGGTGCAGCGGCGCCAAGGTGCTGATCACGAGCGCAGGTGAGTCGCCACACCTGATCAGGGTGCAGTGCATAATTAATAAAGTAGTGGGCGGGGCTTAATTTAGCAATAGGCGGCGGTATGTCCATATAAGAAAATGCTGATTTTCTCTATGGGTAAAATGAACAAGGTTTATTGCCCTTGTTGCTCCCTGTGGTAAACCGAACTGCTCCAAACCTAAGAGGTTTTGGTTGTACTGGGAGGGTTTTGGTTGTACTGGGAGCAGTTTTGGTTGTACTGGAAGAAGTTTTGGTTGTACTGAGAGGAGTTTTGCTTCTACTGGGAGAAGTTTTTCGTTGTACTGGGAGGAGTTTTTCATTGTACTGGGAGGAGTTTTGGTTGTACTCTGCAATACACAAAAATGCTCCACACCTGATATATTTTATCTTGTTTACATTTGTCCTCCGAGTGTAACTGGGCAAAATGGTTTACGAGGTCATAAAAGAGGCAAAATTCAAATTATGCGTTAATTAATAAAGTAAGCTAAAACCATCTAAAATGACATCACATGAAAGTGAGTCTATTATTAAACTCCAACGCCAGCTGCTTAGCCTGCACCCAGTGAGCTCTTTCACACAATCCTATCAGCCTGGAAACTGGAAGAAAGGAAGAAATATTGCTGAGATCAGAACTGCACAGTTTCACCCACCCTGTTCACACCTGGAAATCTTGTTGTGTGAGATGGAATATGCAAATCAGCTCATTATGGAGCAACTAATTACAAACTGTTTATCCATTCAGGGGTAATCCGTTGTATTAGGGGGGGTATTGGTTGTACTGGGAGGAGTTTTGATTGTACTGGGACAGTTATTAGTTGTACCTGTGTGCAATATAATCAATACTCCATGTGCAATATTTTTAAAATATATTTTTAATATTTTTAAAATATTTTTAAAATATATCTATAATGTAAAGATTTTTTGCTTTTCTATTTATAATGTTTATACTGTTCACGATTGTGTAATATAAATCAGTACCTCATGTGCAATACTCTGTGTGAAATTCAGGTAAAATATCCTTACAGTGTAAATATTTTAGCTTTTATTTATTTATAATCCTTTATATCCTTAATTTTTTAAGGGTAGAGTTCATATTTTTATCTTATTTTTTACTTTTAGTATTATATTTATTGTCTATAAAGTAACAAGTAACACTGTAAAAACCTTGTTAAGTAAATAATAAGGTTAATTTCTTGCTTGTCAGTTTCTCTTCTTGTTACTTTTCATTTTCTTGAGTGCCTTGCTATTCATTTGCTGCTGTAACACCGAGAATTTCCCTGTTGTGGGACTAATAAAGGATTATCATATCTTATCTTATCTTATCTCATCTTATCTTACTGGGAGGAGTTTTGGTTGTACTGGGAGGAGTTTTGGTTGTATTGGGAGGAGATTCCCTGTTACTGGGAGAGGTTTTGGTTGTACTGGGAGGAGTTTTGGTTCTACTGGGAAGGATAGTGGTTGTACTGGGAGGGCTCTCCCTGTTTCTGGGAGAGGTTTTAGTTGTACTGGGAGGAATTTTGGGAGAAGTTTTGGTTATACTGGGAGGAGTTTGGGTTGTCCTTGGAGGAGTTTTGTTTGTACTGTGAAGGGTTCTGGTTGTGCTGGGTGGAGTTTTGGTTCTACGGGGAGGAGTTTTGGATGTTCTAGGATGAGTTTCCCTGTTACTGGGAGAGGTTTTAGTTTTACTGGAAGGAGTTTTGGTTCTACGGGGAGGAGTTGTGATTATACTGGGAGGAGTTTTAGTTGTACTGAGAGGGGTATTGGTTGTACTGGGAGGAGCTTCAATTGTAATGGGAGGAGTTTTGGTTGTACTGGGAAGGGTTGTACTGGGTGGACTCTCCCTGTTACTGGGAGAGGTTTTGGTTGTACTGTGAGGAATTTTTGGAGAACTTTTAGTTGTACTGGGAGGAGTTTTGGTTGTCCTCGGAGGAGTTCCGTTTGTACTGTGAAGAGTTTTGGTTTTGCTGGGAGGAGTTTCGTTTGTACTGGGTGAGGTTTTGGTTGTACTGGGAGGAGTTTTGGTTGTACTGGGAGGGGTTTCAGTTATACAGGGAGGAGTTGTGGTTATACTGGGAGGAGTTTTATTTGTATTAGGAGGAGTTTCCCTGTTACTTGGAAAGATTTTTGTTGTACTGGGAGGAGTTTTGATTGTACTGGGAGGAGTTTTGGTTGTCGAATGTGTTATAACATGTGCTATAACGTGGCTCAAATGCATCTCAGTCTGCCTCCTGAAGTGGTTTAAGTGATCAGATTTGTATCTGTTTTAAATGCGTCTTGGCTGTGTTTACAGTTGCATTTTATTGTGGTCTCATCCAGATATAATCCTGACACTGAAGATGCATGAAGTGACCAGCTGTAAATGGGGTCATGGTTCCTTGCCCCAAACCACCTGATTCAGGTCATTAAGGGCTTCTTAATCGCTCTCTGAGCTGGATCAGGTGTGTTGGATCAAGCAGCAGCACTCTGGGTCGCCAGGAGCAGGATTAAGAAACTGGTTTAGGCTGAAGCTAAGGTGGCCTGAAGAAGCCCCGCCAAGCCCACTGAAAGGGCAAAGGCTGCACTGACTCTGTCTGAACACATTATAGATATAGTCAGTAGTTGTAGACACTGACCAACTGTATGTTTCATTTTAAAGAGAGCAAAATTAGTACTTTTTAACTGGATTTAGTGCCAAATATTGAATAAAAATCAATGTGATTAGATTAGAACTATTAGAACTATCAGAAGTAAAACTTATTCTGCTGAAAAAAAATCATAGAAACCATTAAAAGTTTAGGTAGTGTAAAAGACTCAGAAAATTAGTGGTCTGTAATGGTAACCATTAAGCCAATTTCTGTTAGAAAGATTTTAATGCTAGTGGTTCCAAAGGCCTTTTTTTCCGAAGGATAATAATTTTGTTTTCTAATAGGAATTGGCTTAAGGGTTACCATAAGATACAGGTAGTTTCCTATAGAACACTTTTAGATCCCTTTAGACGTCCATCAGATGCATCTTAAATACATCAGTGGTCACCTGTTCTGTCATTAGGATCCTTTACAACCCATTAAAAACAGACAAAACACATTACAAGCTGCCAGGAACCAACAGAAACACTTAATGTTTTTTTTGGTTTTTCAGCAGGGATGGCCAGTAAAAATGAACCCAAAGTACAGATAAACTTTTACCCGTCCACTGTTCTGGGGAAGAGAGTGTCTCATTATAATGGAGGATGGGGGGCAGTCATGGGCTGAGGTTAGGGAACCAGCCCTGTGACCAGAAGGTCGCCAGTTCCATCCCCTGAGCCAACAGTACATGACTGGAGTGCCCTTGAGCAAGGCACCCAACCCCCAACTGCTCCCTGGGCGCTGTGGATAGGGCTGCCCACCGCTCCGGGCAAGTGTGCTCACTGCCCCCTAGTGTGTGTGTGCTCACTAGTGTGTATGTGGTGTATGTGGTAATCTTAATTTCAAGTTCAAGGGGCCTAAACTCTTTAACCAGCTCCTGTTTGGGTTATTTTAACTTCAGCTCCTCTTCATTTACCAATGCTACATTTTTCCACAACTTTAAAAATGCAGGTCAGAAATGCAGACTTTATAATAAAGGAAATGATGTTGCTGTTTAAATGTGAGTATTTAAAGCTAGGCTAGCACTGTAAGCTTACAGTCACAGAAAGCTAGCCTGTACACAGTCATTCATATAGCTAACATATCTGCTCCGAGACATTGTTAATATATACTTTATCTGAGCATTTACGAATGGTAACATATGTTGACAGTGATCTGACAGTCAGTATAGATGTTATCCATTGATGTAAAGCAGAGATGTGGACTGAAGTTCTCTCAGGTTTGCTGTAGGAGCCGCGACACTGAGCTGAAGAGGAGGAAGATTTTAGGGTAAAACTTAAGCTCATGTTATGAGGCTGCAGAACTTTAAATACGTTTGACTGATGGGTGATAACACAGTGTAGGTTTTGTGCAGTGCTCACACCAGTGACTGGAAGTTTAACTATGTGACCGGCTAGCTTAACTTTTCTAGCAGAAACTCTGGTTCCCATATGGAAAAAAAGAATATTCCAAATGTATTTATCAGATACATTTTTGCAGTGTATAAAAATGGCCAAAAATGTATTTGTTAAATATATTTTAAATGCATTTATTAGTATTTATTATTATATGTGTTCAGTTGTGTGTAGTTGTAATAAAGGTTACAGATGTAGCTCAACGGTACTGAGTTCTGTGATCTGCATTGTACTTTACATTAACCATGTACGTATGCAGTAAAACACTCACACGCAATGTATTTCAAATAAACAAGATATCAAATCATGACTGCGTTTTCACAGAGTATCAATACATACAACACTTGCTTTTGTCATGTTAAAGGTTTATTTGATCATATTTAAAATTAAGATACTGGAATACAAATTCATTACAAAAGATATCAAACATTAAAGTGCATTAGGCAGGAGTTTGGATATTTTCATACATTTTTAAATGGATTTGCTAAAATAAATTTACATACATTTATTTTTGTATGGTACATTTCTATGTGTAATATTTACCCATACATTTTAAAATAAATGTATTTTCAAATCTATTTGGTTATATATTCTGAAATACATTTCAGTGTTTGGCATGTACTTCAGCATGGACTGCAATGTGTTTGAAATGTGTATATATAAAAATACATGTCCATATATGTTTTTACATGTGGGTTTCCAGGCAGATTAGCATATAAGCTGAATCAAATACTGCACAGCGAATCAGACAGCCAATGCAGACAGCTTCACAGGAGAAAATACCAGCTAAGCGCTATCTATCTGGCCACTGGTACTGATCAGCATGTCACTAACCTTCAGTCAAAGGCAGCTGTAGCTCCACGTGGCATGGTTAGCATCTGAGCTAAGGCAAGGGAGCTTGGGAAGAACCAGCTGAAGCTAGTCAATGTTTTAGCTTCATTACTGCTGAGAAAGATAATGGAAAAAAAACATGCCATAACTTCACAAACTATGGAGCCAAAAAGTTAGTAGCAGCTTCTGTGCTACTCTGGCTATTGCTAACTTTAGCCACAAAGCACACAGCGTTGTTTCCCAATAAACAAGCAGATCCAATACAGACATGTAGTAACACGCTAATCTTCTGTCCATGCTGTCCATGCACTGCATTAGCCTGTTACACACAGTCCCCTTCGACCTGCTTCTTATCCGCAACAGCCCCAGTGTGGACAGGACTCAGCAGACCTGTGGTCACACGGCAAACAACAGCAGAACACTTAGACATGGATGACCTTAATAAAATAAGCCTTCACCAACAAAATGCATGTTTTAGCATTGTATGCTGGTCAGAGCCTGGTGCTGCTAGCCTCTTATGAAAAGCCACTAAAGAGTATGACTTTAGCTGAAATGCTAATTGTAGCATAATGATATGATAAACTGATCTGTCAATGTAAGTCACAGAGCTATTAATTTAGATTCACCTTTGATGACTGCTGATTGTTTTCATGTGTTTACTAGGTTGTTGTTTTGTTGTTGTTTATGTTGTGCTGCAGTGCACATTTTTGCTCCAGTAGCTGTCCAACAGGATGATTACTCACCGTTCCCCTGTTAGACAGTGATCTTAAGCTGTGTATGGGGTCCAAAGTGTAACATTAGTGGTGGGCCACAGGCAAAAAGACTGACCTGGTTAATTCGTTAGCCTTATGTTTGTGCATGTTGCCATTTAAATAATATTCTTTAACACCCCTGTGGTATTCTTATGTATGAGGCACACTGCCTTTTCTTTACTCAGTGAAAAGATATTTTTCACCCTGGTGGTTTCTGAGTTGGTTCCACCACCTGTTACACTCTATTAGCTTCATGTGTGCTGTTAGATCTGTGTTAATTGTGTGATTTCAAGGTTTGTTGATTTTTAAAAATTTGAATTTGTAAAATTACACTATGGGTTTTGTTACAGAAAGTGCTTCCAAAAAAAAGTTAAAAGAAAAAAAGTGGTGTTTTGGTTAGGTACCTTTCTGGTTGTTGTTGGAAAGCTAGTCCAGTCGCTTTCTAACAGCATGGTTCTTCACCATTTGATGTTGTTTTATGTTTGCTGTGGAAACTATTTATCTGTACAGTAAGAGTGTTTTCTGACAGTAAAAAACAAGGGTGCCTGAACCTTTTGTCCATGGGGTCCAAAGTGTAATGTTAGTGGTGGGCCGAGGGCCAAAAAGACAGAACAGGTCAGTTTGTTAGTCTCACGTTTTGGTAGACCAACTGAAAAGTCCTTGCAGACCAACTCCGGTCCGCGGGCCTAACTTTGGGCAGCCCTGCTATATAACATTAAAATAAATCGTCGCTGTCCAAAGGAAAACAGTTATCTCCAAAATAGTAACTTTAGAGGAGACTGTAAAAACCCACTTACCTTTCACTGTAAGTTAATGTACACACACATTTTCTAAAACACTTATACTTCTGGGTCACTGGAGCCTATCCTAGTGGTCATTGGGCAGGAGGCAGGAAACACCCTGGACAGGTCCCCAGTCCATCGCGGGGCAGACAGACCAACATACACATCCACATCTAGGGGCAATTTAGCCCCTAGGTGTAAGTAGGTGTGGATGTGTATGTGATGTGTACGCAGACACGGGGAGAACATGCAAACTCCACAAAGAAAGGACCCTGGTCACCTGGCCGGGGAATCAAATCCAAGCCCTTCTTGCTGTGAGGTGACAGTAGTCAGTAGTGAGAATGTGTTGTTTTCAGTAAATCTCCAGACATGACTTGAATTTGTTCAGTTCCATCATTTGACTCTAATGAAGTACTGATTTGATAAAGTAAGTACTGGAAGGTAACTGGACTTTGGAAATGGTTGAGCACTCACACACAGAACAATCACAGTGCATTGTTTATTTGTATTTTTGTATTTATTCTAATGTCAGTGTTTATTTGAAACTTTTATTGCCCCAAACAACAGCTTCACGGTTTATTTTCTCCAGTGTAGTTGATGTTTATGATTGTTGTTTGTTGATATTTGGGTTGTTGTTGTTGTTATGTATGCATTGCAGAGCTGCAGGGAGCAGTGCAGGAGATCATTGCACCTCTGGTTGAGGATGAAGTGTGTGTGTTTGTGTTGGCGGCGGAGTGTGTGTCTGCACACATGCAGAGTCTGACTGAGAAAATGGAGAACGTTCCAGACTCGCCCATCCCTCGCACACTACGAGCTAAAGTCACATTCAACGACCCCGCAGTCTACATTTATACATCCGGAACTACCGGTACATACATCACCATTACTCACAGTTCCATCTGTACAACAAACAGCCATATTGCCCCCTACACTTGCTCTAGTGTATTACAGTCTGTCAGAGTAACTCTGTGGATCATATGAACATTATAAAGCGCTTTTTAAATCTCTATTTTTTTTTAAGCTCTAAAATATCTCTATTTTTGTCATTTTTCAGTTTTTGACATAATTTGAAAATGCCCTTTACATTAAGTGTAAATTTCATGATGAATGAACCAAAAGAAACGACCCAAAATTACTTTGATTTACATTAAAAGTAAAGTATTTTTTTTTCTCATTTTAAAGATACAAGGTTTTGTTCCAACAGCAGCGAAATATACATATGAGACATATTATTATTATGTAAGGATACTTACATATATATATGTACATATTCACATATATGGTGTTAGCAATACACTCTTAAAAAGATGGTTCTTCAAGGGTTCTTTAGTTAAAAAATGGTTCTATATGGAACCATGAACACTTAAAAAACTATTTCCATGCTTAAATGGTTCTCTGCATGGTGAAGTCGTTCTTTAGATTGACGGAATATGTGATGTGTATGGTTCTATAAGGCACCAAAAAAGGGTTCTGCTATTGTTCCAATGTCAAGCTTGTTACAGTAGAAAAACCCTTTTAGGTGCTATATAGAACCTTTTTAAAAAATTCTATACCTTTGTCTTTACTATAGAACCCTTAAGGAAGGCCCATCTTTTTAAAGAATGTATATGAACCTGTGTCTTGACAAGATCTAAAAACAAACTTGTGTGTGTGTGTGTGTGTGTGTGTGTGTAGGTCTCCCTAAAGCAGCAGTGCTCAGTCAGATGCGTCTCTTGGCTGCTCTGGCTGTGTTGGCGTCTATAGGCGTGACAGGTAGTGATGTCATCTACGTGACCCTCCCACTTTACCACACAGCCGGCTTCCTTGTCGGCTTCATCGCCTCTGTGGAGACAGGTGAGTGTAAACTCCACAGCAAGGGTAAATGGGTTTTCAAAATGTTTTTAACAAAAATTCTAATGTTTTCTTTCACGAGACTCTGATTTGAACCTCAGAGACTCAAAACTTGACTCATGCTTGTATCTCAGAGACTCGACTTGGACCTCAGAGAACTGACTTGAACTCGAAACTCAGATTTCTAGACTTAACTCGGACTCACATCTTAGGCACTCAAGACTCAGCTTGGACTCACACCTTAGAGACTAGACTCGGACCTCTGTGACTCAAGACTTAATTCGGATTTGCACATCAGAGACTCGACTCGGACTCGAACCTCAGAGACTCAAATCTCAACTCAGACTCACATCTCTAACTTACAGTCTTACCTCAGAGACACAAAATCCAACTCAGACTCCCACCTCAGAGACCCGAGACTTGACTCAGACTCATATCTCAGATTTTTGACTCGACTCGGATTCACACCTCGGAGGCTTGAAACTTGACACTTCAGTGCACTACACTACACATTAGACTATATTACATTGCACACTAATTACTGTGCAGTGTAAAGTATAGGGTAATTTATGGCATTTGGCAGACACTCTGGATAAGAATTTTAAACATTTTACACAGGTAGGTGAAGGTAATTTTAGGAATCCTGCCCAAGGACTCTTATTGGTATAGTGTAGGGTACTTGCCTAAGCATGGGCTTGAACCCCAATCTACAGCATAGAAGGCAGAGGTTACCCATTACACTATACCAACCACCACAAACAGAGGCTTCATGCGCCAGCTGGCAGTCGGACCCAGGTCACAAGAATGGGAACCTTGCGTGATACCACTACACCACTGCTGCAAGGACACACAGCATCCTGCATGTGCCCATGTGATAAAACTAAACGTCATTCATGGACTGCTTTCACACATTTGTAATTGATTCACAGAGATTAGACTGCTATTTCCTCTGTATATATTCTATGATCATTCTTTAAAAATGACTAATTCTTTTTAATAATATTTTTCTGTGTTTGAGGTTCCAAAATAATCCTAAAGCGTAAGTTCTCAGTGTCTCAGTTTTGGAAGGACTGCAGGAAGCACAATGTGACGGTGATCCAGTACATCGGAGAGATCATGCGCTACCTCTGTAACACACCCAAGGTAACATACATCTACTCACACACACACACACACACTCCATGAAGACTGTCACATCTAGACTAACATATGAACCCCATCAGATACACCGAGGTCCTGAAATATCACTGCTCTCAGTGTCACTCCAAAATGTAACGTCCTCTGACCTACACCACAGTAAAGCACAGTAAAGAGTTCACTGGAGGACTCGTGTATCTCCACAGCCCAAGAGCGGCACTCACGCTCATTTTACACTCAGATCGCATGTTAAAGGAGGATCACTGAGAGGCATTCGTCTTATTCGCTTGAGATGTTGATTCTAAAGCGGCTTTTCAGAAATCCTGGCTCTGTCTCGGATTACTGGAAATAGTCTGAAAGTATTTGTGTGGAGAGGCACTCTGAGCACATACACGTCTCTACTGACTTTTTAACCAAACTGTCTAACCAAACCATTCAGCTAACTTAACAAGCTAATCAAACAATTCAGCTAACTAAAAAATCAAAACCATTCAGCTAACTAAACATGCTAACCAAACCATTCAGCTAACTAAACATGCTAGCCAAAGAATTCAGCTAACTAAAAATCAAAACCATTTAGCTAACTAAAACTGTCTAACCAAACCATTCAGCTAACTAAACATGCTTACCAAAACCATTCAGCTATAACTGTCTAACTAAACCATTCAATTAACTTAAACTGTCTAACCAAACCATTCAGCTAATTAAACATACTAACCAAAACCATTCAGCTTACTAAAACTGTGTAACTAAACCATCTAGCTAACTAAACATTAGTGGTTGGGGGAAAAATTGATTCTTAGATGCATCGCGATGCGGACGTGGACGATTCTGAATTGATTCACAAACGTCAAAAATCAATTTTCTAAATTTTAATTGATAGCGTAATGTTGATGGAATGCAAAAGGCAGAGCTTTGCAAAGTGCGGAAGTGTAGTGCAATCTTAATAAGAGTCATTTTGTCCTTTAAATAAAAATCAAACCACCTTGGGAGCCACAACATTTTGAGTCCATTTTAACATCTTGGCTGTACGTGTGTCAATACATGCTAATGTCTTAGTTTAGGCATAAAACAAACAAAAACGCAGCCTTACTTTGCTCTGCTTTAAGCCAGCTGGAAACTTTTCCACAACAGTTTCTTGTAAAATATCTCTCAGTGTTCTGCTTTTTATAAGGCTGAAGTCAGTTTCTCATTCTCCAGCTTCTCTTTCGAATTTTCCTGTTCTACCTTAAATGGTGCCCTAGACACCAGAATGTAACTGCTGCACCATTTAAGGTGGAATGGGAAAATTTAAACAAGAAACTGGAGAACGAGAAACGTATGGAAGCACTTTGGCTTCTGTGGAGTTGAGGGGGAAAACTCTATTGCGTTTCCACCCGTTTTCCACCCAGTTGTACTTGCTGCCAACCAGAGGACCATCGAGCAAGCAATGTCAAAGCTTCCACCCAACTCAGAAAGGACGAAATGAATTACAAACTCTATTGCAACTTTTATTGCCAAGGATTTGCGTCCATACTCAGTCTTTGAGAACCAGGGCTTTGTTGCCCACTTTAGAGCCGAGATACAGCACCCTACAGCAGTCTCGAAGATATTTTACTGACACAGCAACCCCCACTCTCTACAACGAGACCAAAACTGAAGTTATAGAATCATTGAAGGAAACAGGTAGAATAGCTGTAATCTGCTGCATGGACATGCATTGCCACAGGATCTTATTTTACCATAACTTTACATTTTATCGCAGATGAGTGGCAGCATGCGTCTCATGTGCTCCAAAGAAGATCAGTGAATGAGAGCCTTCCAGTTCACTTGCCACATCGCTTCTGTTTGATTTATTAGTAAAATATATTGGAAGTAAATTTATTATAGACTATTACAAATACTTTGCTTTAAAAGTTGTCACACAGTGACAAAGTGACAAAGAAGAAGTGACAAAAAAGAAAGATGCATCAATAATCATTTTATAATTGGATCGCAGCCCTCTCAATCGAAATCAAATCGAATCGTGAGGTGCCTAGAGATTCCCACCCCTACTAAACATGTTAACCGAACCATTCGGCTAATTAAACAAACTAACCAAACCATTCATCTAACTAAAACTGCCTCACCAAACCATTCAGCTAACTGAAACTGCCTAACCAAACCATTCAGCTAACTAAAACTGCCTCACCAAACCATTCAGCTAACTGAAACTGCCTAACCAAACCATTCAGCTAACTGAAACTGCCTAACCAAACCATTCAGCTAACTAAAACTGCCTAACCAAAACTATTCAGCTAAACAGAATAACTAAAACCATTCAGCTAACAAAAACTAAGCTGATCAGCTGACTAAAACTAATCTAAACATTGCTTACATAATTAGCTACCCAAACTTGTGTCTGTATAAACATAATTATTAAAGCATCACACAATGTCGCTACATACAGCTAATGAATAACACTGTCTCACTATTACTTTCTACTTTTCAACACCAGCTTTCACTTTCACTGTGAACGCTCAGTCTCTGTGTGTGTGTGTGTGTGTGTGTGTGTGTGTGTGTGTGTGTGTGTGTGTGTGCGTGCGTAGTGTTCTATTACTCTGTGGAATGAGAGCAGCTGTTACTCTTTCAGTGAAAGTTTGACCTCAGTGCACAGCTGGCTGGCAAAGGACATTAAAGCTACAGTTCCATGAAAAATTAATTTATCCCCCAGTGTAATCGATAGTACTGATCGAGGCTAATGTAGCTAATGGAAATAATCTCAATTAGACTTGTTTACAGTGGACAAAAGTGTGTTAGCATAGCAAGAACAGTAGTTTATTTTAACCAAAAATAATTGCACTGTAGTTCATGGTTATAGATAACAGTGTGTCATAGAGAGTCAGAAACCACATAATCAAGACCATTAGAGATACTGAACACCTCCACACAGTTTGAGGAGAGTCTGTGATGATTTATGGCGCATTTTTGCCACTTCTGAACTGAGAAGTTTCTGACGTTAAGGTGGAAAAAATCAATTACATCATTCCAGCTTCCAAATTTCTTCTGGGAAAGATTATCAAGAGTCTTCTCTGAATTGCATTTTTTTGTGTCACTTCAACATTAAGCGCCCATAGAACAAGAAGTGTTTCAGCATCTTTAAGCAGACTATGGAGTTTCTGCCTGTGAATGATTTACTATTAGTGTCTCTAAATACCAGGGGAAATCTGGCTAATTTAAAGATTTTTGTGTGCTATCATGTAATTTTCAGTCCTCTAGTCATGATGAATTGTCGAAAAATACACATTTATTTCAAATAAATGAAAAGTTAACGAGACTGCATGTTAATTCCAGTGTAAAAACTGTTTAAGAACCTTTTATATGCATGCAGCAGCCAAATAAACGCTAAGCATCCATTTTTTTTACTTAAAACATTAGCACTATGTTAATTGGTGAGCCTACATTAGCCTTGTAGCTCCAGCAGTAAAACTAACTTCAGACACTGAACATGTCTTTCCTGATCAACTACATTTTATTTAAGGGTGAGAAAATGGGGATCTTTTTGCTGAGCAGCTGTTTAAATGTTTGCTGCTCTTGCTAACAGCGCTAATAGAGTTTTAGCTGCCTCTGGACTGTAGCGGTGTTAGCAGCAGTGATTTCTGTCCTCTGTGCAGGTCAGAGGGGTTACAGTGGGGATGTACAGGACGGGTTTTGGCATGCGGGGTGCGGCCTGGACGTCTTTTGGGGCTGAAACTGAATCTCGGGACAGCATGTGGTCTCTGGTCTTAAGGCATCATGTGATCACGGTGTCAGGCAGGAGTGTATGAGTCGTGATCTGGGAATAGAGTCGCCTTTACTTAGAAACACCAAGTACACATACATACACCACGAAACTCGATCACCTCAATACATTCTGGAAGGACTTGACTAGTTCATGTTTCCTTCGAGGTTTTGGATTCAAGTTGTACTGTAAAGTTCTCCAACCTCATTAAGTGTGCTAAAATTACATCCCACCATGTAGTAATAATAATAACTGTATTTACATTATACAACACCTTTCAGATATAAAAATACAATTTCTTCAGAGTGTGTGCAAATAAAATATTAAAACAGTAAATAAATAAAACAGTGTATAACAAAAAGCAGTGGTGAACCACTATTAGAGCTGGGACTTTAGTTCAGGATGCAAATGCCAAAACACCTCTACAATGATGCTTATTTCTATTAGCGTCCGTGTAGAGTTCTGGCAGTATGTTAGCGCTAAGCTAACCACTGTTCTGGATTACGCACAGACATTTGAAGCTTGTAAAATATTTCCATGTTTTATTTGAAGCTTGTAACAGGTATCAACATATATGTGAAGTTGTATCTACACTCTTAAAAAAGATGGTTCTTCAAGGGTTCTTTACTAAAGACAATAGATCTATATAGAACCATGAACAATCAAAGAACCTTTTGCATGCGTACACTGTTCTTTGTATGGTGAAATGACTGTTCAGATTCATGGAATAAGTGTTGTATATGGATCCATATAGCACCAAAAAGGATTGTTCCACTGTTATGATGTTAAGCTTGTAACAATAGCAGAACACCTTCTAGTGCTATACAGAACCCTTTTCAAAAAGGTTCTATACAGAATCATATACAACACATTCTGTCAATCTGAAGAGCCAGTTTACCATACAAAGAACCATTTAAGCATGCAAATGGTTCTTTGAGGGTTCATGATTCTATATAGAACCATTCTCTTTACTAAAGAACCCTTGAAGAACCATCTTTTGAAGAGTGTAGCAGTTTTTTAGTGAATCTTTCAGTAAAGTGTTTTGACATAGAGCTACCACCGCTGTTTTCCATTCCTAACAACTACCTGGAACACTACTTAGACTACAGCTCATATTCACAATCAGTGATGTGTCTAGAACTTCCAGAAGGACTAGAGTGACGTCTCGGTTTCCACTCATTGTAAATCAAAGCATGACTGGTTCGTTCTTCTGTCACTTCCTAATTATGTTAGTACATAATCTAATGTGTAAGGCCTTCAGTCCAGCTCCTGAAGTCCTAACCAATGGGAGAGCAGCTTGGCTGTATCTACTCAGATAACACAGAGAGAACAATCCTGACTGGATCTTTTACTGTTGGGCGTTTCAAGAGTTTAACCCTTTTGTTTCCAACCAAAACTTTACAAAAATGAGTTGCTGAGTAATAAGGATAATAGTTCTGTTAAATCAAAATGAACAAAAATTACCAAAAAAAGTGTTCTTTTTTCATTTCACAGTAATCATTAGGCCTTCTCTGAAGACTCTGGGAGTTCCTCACTGACAAAAAGAACATAACATTAAAAAAAAAACATGATGTTTGTATAATCAGTGTAAAAATAAAGATAAATCATTAAAGCCTTAAAATAAAAAATGGAATCAAATTTAATATTGAAGAAATTAGTGAAGTCAGATTAGATATTAAAACAAATATTTAAAATAGTACGTACATTTTTTGTATTTTTAGTGTATAAAATAGCACGTTTATATATGAAAATACATATAAAAAATGAATAATGTTGTGCTGGCTAGGTCTTGCTTTCCTATAGGCTTCTCTTACAGCTTGTTTATTTGTCTGTTTATTTGTTTATCTGCAGACGGAGAATGATAAAGAGCACAGAGTGCGTCTGGCCATTGGGAACGGACTGAGAGCGGATGTGTGGAAAGAATTCCTTACCAGGTTTGGGAAGATTGAAGTGAGGGAGTTTTATGCGTCTACAGAGGGAAACGTGGGCTTCTTTAATTACACAGGAAAGATTGGAGCTGTCGGACGGGTCAGCTTCCTGCACAGAGTAAGACTTTTTGTTCATGTTTGGAAACAAACTGCTTTGTACTTAGATTTACCTGCATCCAGTGTATCACTGGATCTTCTTCAGAAGTATGTTTAATACATCAGAAGTAACAGTCCACATTACGTATTACACAGACCAACCTTTTCCAACAAACGGCCCACACGAATGAGCACAGAAGCCTCCACAGCCTGATCAGATTGTTTGTTCTGACTCTGAGTGAAGGTGTAACTTGTTGGTTTCAACGCTTTACGTAAAAAAACTCTTTGTTTTGGTTTATTCAGGGTTTTCTCCATCTGAGATCATTGACACTTTGTATGTGGATAGCCCAGCCTCAGGATCTTTCTTTTGGAAAGACCCCAGTTTTACTCATTTATCCATGATGGTTCTATACGACTAGTAAGTGAAATGTTCAATGTTGTAATGACAACATTATTTGTCATATTTAAAAGTCAATTTGGTTAAATATCTTTTGAAACCAATTTTTGCAGTTAAAAAACTGATAGCCAACACCCTCCAAGAAGTACCACTACGGCCCACTGGGGAGGCTTCAGGTTGAAAACCTCTGACGAAGACTATATCAGAACCACAAGAAATGCATATGCTAGGTCGGTGGCGTAAGCAGAAATACCTTTTTGAGCAGGCTGTGAGAAAGTGGGTAGGATACAGCCTGACAGCAGTGCAGTCATCCCGTCCCATATTTTTTCAGAGAATAATAATGATAATACAACAACTTTTCTTTTATTCATGGTTAGTGGTTGGGTCAAGCCATTTATTATCAAACAATTGTTTTTGCCCTTTTTGAAATCATAATGACAACAGAAACTACCCACATGACCCTGATCAAAAGTTTACATACCCTAGTCCTTAGTACCGTGTATTCTCTCCTTTAACATCAATGGCAGCTTAAAGTCTTTTGTGGTAGTTGTGGATGAGGCACTTTATTTTCTCAGATGGTAAAGCTGCCCATTTTTCTTGACAAAATGCCTCCAGTTCCTGTAAATTCTTGGGCTGTCTTGCATGAACTGCACGTTTGAAATCTCCCCAAAGTGGCTCAGTGATATTGAGGTCAGGAGACTGAGATGGCCACTCCAGAACCTTCACTTTTTTCTGCTGTAGCCAATGACAGGTCGACTTGGTCTTGTGTTTTGGATCATTGTCATGTTGGAACATCCAAGTGCATCCCATGCGCAGCTTCCGGGCTGATGAGTGCAAATTTTCCTCCAGTATTTTCTGATAAAATGCTGCATTCATCCTGCCATCAATTTTGACCAAGTACCCTGTGCCTGTGTAGCTCACACATCCCCAAAACATCAGCGATCCAAGGTGCGTGTTTTACAGTAGGGATGGTGTACTTTTCATCATAGGTCTTGTTGACTCCTCTCCAAATGTAGCGTTTATGGTTGTGGCCAAAAAGTTCAATTTTGGTCTCATCACTCCAAATAACTTTGTTCCAGAAATCTTGAGGCTTGTCTCTGTGCTGTTTGGCATATTGTAAGCGGGCTGCTTTGTGGCATTGGCGTAGTAAGGGCTTTCTTCTGGCGACTCGACCATGTAGCCCATTTTTCTTGAAGTGCCTCCTTATTGTGCATCTTGAAACAGCCACACCACTTTTTTTCAGAGAGTCCTGTATGTCAGCTGACGTTATTTGTGGGTTTTTCTTTGCATCCCGAACAATTTTCCTGGCAGTTGTAGCTAAAATTTTTTTGGTCTATCTGTCTTTGGCTTGGTTTCAACAGAATCCCTCATTTTCCTCTTCTTAATTAGAGTTTGAACACTGCTGATTGGCATTCTCAATTCCTTGGATATCTTTTTATGTCCTTTTCCTGTTTTATAAAGTTCAACTATCTTCTCCCGCAGATCCTTTGATAATTCTTTTGCTTTCCCCATGTCTCCTAATCCAACAACGTCAGTGGCAGCACCGGATGAAACATGCAAGGGTCTGTCAGGAGCCCAGTAACTTACTGACTCTTTATACACACACTGATTTACAAGCAAACAGATCACAGGTGAGGATGGTTACCTTTAGTAGCCATTTAGACCTGTGTGTGTCAACTTGTGTGTATGTTATCATGCCAAAACTTCCAGTGTATGTAAACTTTTGATCAGGGTCATGTGGGTAGTTTCTGTTGTCATTATGATTTCAAAAAGGGCAAAAACAATTGTTTGATAATAAATGGCTTGACCCAACCACTAACCATGAATAAAAGAAAAGTTGTTGTATTATCATTATTATTCTCTGAAAAAATATCAACAAATCACAAATTCTGCCAGGGTATGTAAACTTATGAGCACAACTGTATATTATTCACATAGACAAGAATGCTGGATTTACATAAACCTCAGCTAAACTGCTGTAGACTGAATGGGCAGGGCTAAACTGCTGTAGGCTGAATGGGTGGGTCTAAACTGCTGTATGTTGAGTGGGTGGTGCTAAACTGCTGTAGGCTGAATGGGTGGGTCTAAACTGCTATAGGCTGGGTTGGTGGTGCTAAACTGCTGTAGGCTGAATGGGTGGGACTAAACTGCTGTAGACTGAATGGGTGGACGCAAACTTAGTGAGTGGGCATATGGTTCACTTGATGTCACAGAAACTAGTCATTTAATACTGTTTTTGCAGTTTAGTTTTCATATATGGACTGTGTGGGGAGTGAACAATGCATTTTAAAACAATGTTTACATATAAGCAAGGGAAGTATTGCTTATACGTAAAAGTATATGGTAGTAAAAGAGCAACGTTTGTAACACAAGCTGGTGTTTCGTAAGTTTGTTTTTAGTTCTGAAAATGTGTAGAAAATAAGATACTTCTGACAACAGATGGAGCTTCAAATTCAGAATACATACTGCACTGCAAAAGCTTGTTAGCAATGGTTGCTAAGCAGCGGTTGCAGGGCTGAGAAAACAAGCAGCAAAATGAATTTATCTGTAGTTCAGAATGAGTGACCGTTAACTGACGAACTAATGCAGCTTCGGTAATGTAATGATAGTAATATGGAAATCAATCCCGTAAATGAAGTAAATAGTGTAATCATGGAAACGGGTGTTGATTGATTTGATGAGTGTGTGTAAACTGTACTCTGTGTATCTATCTGAGTGACGGTTTAAATGTGTTTTTCAGAAGCTGTTCCCATTCGCTTTGATTAAATATGACACAGTGACAGATGAACCTGTCAGAGACGCTAACGGCAGGTGCATCGAGGTCTCTACAGGTCAGAAGATTAATCAGTTATCACACCACACACACATACAGATATTGAAGACAGCTGGGCTTTCTACTTTACTTTCAGCCCTGCACAAAAGTCCATCACAAAAAAAGACTGTTCATTTATTTACTTTTCAGCCAAAACAGATTTTAAAATTGGACTCCTAAAAAGACCTGGTAGGCGCCAAAACTGCCCCATCAGATAAACAGCACTTAAAGCTTTCATCTTTGAGAGAGAGGAGAAAAATAAGTTTTACTCTTGCTTCAAATTAGTTAAAAGTTGGATAAACATCTCCCTCTTGAAAACATATGGCTCTTTTTCAGAACTGATATCCACCATCTTTCAGTCACCATCCTTCACATAATGTAAAGTTTCTTTACCTGTTTATGCCTGAACCCCACGACAGGAGTGACAGTGACAACAGGAGGAGGACAAGAGATGCAAGAGGTATGTGATGTCCAGACAGCCTGCTAGGCCACCTCCAGCTGCTAGGAGGAGCTAGGGGCCAGAACTGAGTAATTAGGGCTGAGCGGTAGCAGCTGTGGGCACCCTACTTAAGGGCTGCCCACATGCCACTCGATGCTAAGTCTTGAGTTCTCTCTGCCACATGCAGGATGCTCTGACTCAGCCGGTGATTTCTGTATCTCTTTTCCTCTAGTCGATTTCCAGCGTAAGTATGTGAATCTCTTGAATGTTCTCTCACCCTCTGCATTTAAGGAAGAAACAAGGGTGAGATTAAATAAGGGAGTGTTTTAAGTTCAATTTTAGGGAGTTACCAGTTACCAACCAGCATTGGTAATTCTGGCCATCGTCCCTTTGGTGGTGCGGTACGTAGCATGTCACTTTGGGATCACGGTGATTGAGGGTACGATCCCCAGTACCTGTGACCAGTTACTTTCTTTGTTTTCTTTGTTTCCCCTTTTTTCGATATTTACCCTGACCCCGCACTCAAGCCCGTCCCTTGTTGGCCGCCAGGTGGTCTGTCCCTCAGCGCTCTCAGTCACGAATATAAGGGTCATGAGTTCGATTCTCACTAAGGGGGAATCCCCCCAAGGTGCGTAACAAGGCGTGAGGACAGTGCCTGAGTCCCAAGCCCTGCCTGCAATATTAGGCCTGATATTCGATATTGGTGGCTGAGCTGCAGTGATGGGGAGGCGCAGCAGCAAGCTTTTTCTTTCCCTCTCAGTTTAGGTGCTCATGTTGTCCTCATACCTCTTATATCTGTAGTCTTTCTCCCACCCTCTCTTGTGGCTGTTTCCCTCTTTACATCCTCTCTTGCGGCTGTTGTCCTCCTCCTGTCATCACTCGTGGCTGTCGTCGAGGCGCAGGGTTCGGGCCCCACCTTCCCACTGCCTCTCGTGGCTGTCCTCATCCTCAGGCCCTGGGGGTTGGGCACCTGGCACACATTTTAATTCTTCTTCCAAAAACTTTTACATCATGTGGAGGTTCTTTAAACCTTAATAGTTCTTCACACTCAGACATCTTATTTACAGAAGTTGAAATTAAAAGATTCTTTAGGGAAGCAAAACTGATTCTTCTATTGCAACAGTCACCAACCCTCCTCTTGGAAATCAACCTGCCTCTTTACCTTATATGTGCTACCTCTTGATCTGATACAGCCAATCGGGGTTGTTGAAGTTAATGAGCTGAAGTATGTGTGGTGGGCTGGAGACTAGACCAGGGTTGGACACCACTGTTACAAGCCTACACGCAAATAATAATAATGATAATAAAAAAAAAAATAATAACAACAACAATGATGATTTCAGTTTATAATGCACCTTTTACATTCTCAAAGTTGCAGTACATGTAGTGGTTGGTACAGTGTAGTGGGTAACACCTCTGCCCTCTATGCTGTAGACTATGTTGTAAAAGTCCTTGGGCAAGACTCCTACCACTGCTTTGCCTACCTGTGTAAAATGACCACATTGTAAGGTGCTCTGGATAAGAGCGTCTACCAAATGCCATTAATGTACAGAACAAAAAAGTGTAACATCTGGAGTGGGTGGAGGGTGAAACCTGTGTTTTTCTCTGTGAATGTTTGTGCAGGTGAAACTGGTCTCCTGGTGGTAAAGATAACGAAGCTGGCTCCGTTTGCGGGCTATGCAGGGAATCCAGAGCAGACAGAGAAGAAAAGGCTGTGGGATGTTTTCCAGCCGGGAGATGTTTACTTCAACAGCGGAGACCTGCTGAAGATCGACCATGACAACTTCATCTACTTCCAGGATCGAGTCGGAGACACATTTAGGTAGAGTTCAGACACACGAAAGTCTCTCCACATTTCCCAACAAGTTATATTATATCTCATATTCCACAATGAGATACTCATTTAAAACACAATCCAGAGTTTACAGACCTAATTTGTGTTTCTGTGTTTTATATTAGGGCACACTGTCATTTATTTTACCAAACTAAATCAGTTTAATGATCTGCTGTGTTTATATGGTGTGTTTTGTGTTCAGGTGGAAAGGAGAAAACGTTGCCACGACTGAAGTCTCTGACATCATCACTCAGGTGGATTTCATTAAAGAGGGAAACATTTATGGAGTTCAGGTTCCAGGTACAAGAGCAAACATCTCACACAAACACCAATTTATGTGGTTGTATGAATTTCCATATGACCAGGCGTATGTGTATGTGTGTGTGCGCGCATGTGCGTGTGCATGTGCTTGTGCGTGTGTGTGCGTATGTGTGTGTGTGCAGGTCATGAGGGAAGAGTCGGGATGGCGGCAGTGACAATAAAAGAGGGGGCGGAGTTTGATGGCACAAAAATGTTCGACCACGTCACAAAACACCTACCAAGTTATGCACAACCACGCTTTCTACGAATACAGGTAAAATTACAAACAGGTAAACACACCCTACAGGTAAAATTACATACAGATAAACATGCTCTGCGGGTAAAATAAAAATCAGTTAAACACACTATACAGTTAAAATTACAAACAGATGAACACACACTACAGGTAAAATTACATATAGGTAAACACAATCTACAGGTAAAATTCTAAACAGGTAAATACACACTACAGGTAAACAGGATCTACAGGTAAACACACTGTACAGGTAAAATTACATACAGGTAAACACACTCTAGGGTAAAAATTACATACAGGTAAACACACTCTAGGGTAAAAATTACATACAGGTAAACACGCTCTACATGTAAAATTACATGCAGGTAAACACACTCTAGGGTAAAAATTACATACAGGTAAACACTCTACAGGTAAAATTACATACAGGTAAACACACTCTACATGTAAAATTACATACAGGTAAACACAGTCAGTGGTAAAAATTACAAACAGATAAACACACTCTACAGGTAAAATTTCATACATGTAAACATGCTCTACAGGTAAAATTTCATACATGTAAACACGCTCTACATGTAAAATTACATGCAGGTAAACACACTCTAGGGTAAAAATTACATACAAGTAAACACACTCTACAGGTAAAATTACATACAGGTAAACACACTCTACATGTAAAATTACATACAGGTAAACACAGTCAGTGGTAAAAATTACAAACAGATAAACACACTCTACAGGTAAAATTCCATACAGATAAACACACTGTACAGTTAAAATTACAAACAGGTGAACACACACTACAGGTAACATTACATACATACAGGTGAACATGCTGTACAGGTAAAATTACAAACACACACTACAGGTAACATTACATACAAGCAACCACGCTCTACAGGTAACATTACATACAAGCAACCACGCTCTACAGATAACATTACATACAGGTAAACATGCTGCACAGGTAAAATTACTTACAGGTAAGTATGCTGCACTGGTAAAAATACAAATGTGAGATGTGATGTATTCACGTTACTTTGTTTATCAGTAAGTAAATCAATGTGATGTGTGTTTATTTATCTTGTGTAGAGTGCGGTGGAGGTGACGGGGACATTTAAGCAGGTGAAGAAGAAGCTGGTGGAGGAAGGTTTTAATCCTGCAGCAATCTCTGAGTCGCTCCATTTCCTGAGTGAGAAAGAGCGGAGATACATTCCTCTAACAGAACTCCTCTTTAACAGCATCGTTACAGGCAGCGTCAGACTGTAACACAGAATTACCTCAGTTATGATCTGATTACAGATTAGATTCACTGTACAGACGATTTGATATTTTAACTTAATGCCCCAGGAAATCATTAATCTTTGTTCTTGCTAATTACGTTAATCTTGCTCTTGGTGGCCACCATATACACGTACAAGGTACATGCTGTGAATAACTTTCCACTGACAAATAAATGGCCGATGCATTTTACCAAAACTTTCAGTGTAAACTAGACGGACCTAATCTTCGGTAAAGCTTACATAAGCTGATGTGGTTTGCCCCGCCCACACAGCTTTAACCAAACTGGGTTCCTCTACAGTCTCTCTGTTTTCAAGTCAGAGAATCTTACAGGGAGAAAGTTTACCACCAAACGAAAGCAAACCACCAAGCGAAAGTTTACTGCCAAGTGAAAGCTGACTACCAAGCAAAAGCTAACCACAAAGCGAAAGTTTATCCACAAGCGAAAGTTTACCCCAAACGAAAGTTTACCACCAAGCAAAAGTTTACCGCCAAGCAAAAGTTTACCCCAAATGAAAATTTATCACCAAGCAAAATTTTAACCCTGAACAAAAGCCTACCCCAAGTGAAAATTTACCCCAAAGGAAAATTACGCCAGGTGAAAATTTACCGCCAGGTGAAAATTTACCACCAAACAAAAGTTTAACACCAAGTGAAAGTTTACTCCCAAACAAAAGTTAGTTTGAATATTAGACCACGGCCACACTGTTCTCAGATAGGTCTGATCAGCAGTTTTTAAACCGTGTTTTATTTTATTTGCTGGATATTTAATATAACACAAATATTTCTGTCATTTTAATAAAGTAAATAACCTGCTTTAAAATATTGATATTAATTGATGATAGTACGTTAACAGAACAATAATAATCTGTGTTCTATTCTACCCTAAATTTCAAGACAATCAGTATAACTTAGTTTTTAAGTGAAAACATCAAATCTGTTTTTACAGTAGGTGGAGCAGATCACAAACTAACACATTCAGATTTCTGCTAATCTGAACTCAGCAGCTGTGCTTTACAATGTGCAAAAAAATTTATGATGAACGGACCAACAGAAATGCTCCAGATTTGTTCAAATAAAATCTCTTTACATTAATTGACATTACATTAAATTAAAGTAAAGAATGTCTTTGTTCTCTGCTCTAATGTTACTATTTTGGAGATGCTTTTCTTTGGATAGTGATAATATATTCATCAAAGTAAATATGATTAGTAAAAAGCCGCTGGCAAATGTGTTTTTGAGGTTAAAGTAGAGGAACTGTAACATTAAAATCTGGGTCATTCCACACAAGCTCACCCAGCCCTCCCAGTTCCTCTCATGGATATTCTTGAAAAAAATCATTTGAAAACTTATTTTAAATTCATGTAACTTTGCAAAGTCCTACAGGTCTACTCCAGGTACTTTTTTGAGTTATGAATTTTTGAAGTGTGGCCTTTTCATCATTTCTATGATTCTATCTATGCACAGTCTCAACCTTAACCAGCTGCTTTTTTTTACTGAACATCTAAGAAACCCTGAGGATAATTTGCAACATGTATTCATGTAAATAGTTGTTGCTGAAAGTTTTACAGTAATCAAATTATAAAAATGAACATTTTTTACCTGAATGAAGAATCTTTCATTTTCAAAAATTAGTATCTCCAAGTTTTTACAAAAATTCATAACTAAAAAGTAATTTGCTCCCATGAATTTAATAGTTTTCACATGATTTTTTTTCAAGAAAATCCATCACATGAATTCACTTGGAATAAGCATTATATATTATTTACACAACATCTGTAGTTCATTTCTGATGAATCAGTGAAATAAATAATAATAATAATAAACTATTATCAGTAAAGTTCCTGTAGTGAATGTATATATATATATATATATATATATATATATATATATATATATATATCGCTGTTGTCTGAACAAAACCTCGTACCTCCATTTTTATCGTTTTTCAGTTTTTGACCTAATTTGAAAATACCTGTTGCTCTTTACATTGTGTGTAAATTTCATGATGAATGTTTTGCAAAAAAACGGCCCAAAATTACATGAATGTCTGTGATGTTTATGATTCACACAGTATATGAAATTTCATTATAAATGACAGAGATGGGGCGGCTACTCTAAACTAACCCCGCCCGTGTGGAGGCTGTACTTTAGCCTGTCTAGCTCTCACTGTGAGCTGTTTACACACACATTTTCTAAGCCGCTTATCCTTCTGGGTCAAGGGGGGACCTGGGGTCTATCCCAGTGGTCAATGGGCGGAAGGAAGTAAACACCCTGGATAAGTGGCCACTCCATTGCAGGGCGGACATACAGACATATACATTCACACACGCATTTTATGGTATAAAAACACTCATCTTAGTGAATGTGGAGAAATTCAGAGATGACGTTGCTATGGGAACATGAGAAGATGAGCAAAAGCACCTAAATATCAGTGTGTAAAGTGTTCGGACCCTTTCTGAATAAGCTCAAAGACACTTATGATAAAATGCTTAACTTGTTGTTTCTCAGATGAATATAAATAATGAAATTTACGTCTGTATATGAATTTATTTCCAAAAAAAAATGTCACAGGTTTGGTTCCCCATACTATTGTTCTAAAATGTGGAAAATAGTCGAAATAGAGATAAAGCCTTCATGAGTGGTCAGACTTCAGACAGCTACTGTTTTCAGGACCAGCAGGGGGCGCTGTGTTACAGAAACACATCAAAGGCTGGCAGTAGAGGAGCTGATCAGTGTGCTCATGTGTTCTGCGCTCTGATTGTTGTATATATGAAATGTTAATGTTTTCTACACATTTAAGATCAGCATCACATGTTGTACATCTATTTTACAGAAAACACTTGATGATATCAGTAACTCATTGATATGTGAGAATCATATCTTATAGAATGGTTGGTTTGGGCCAAAGCGGTTCATATACTGTCTGTGTGTGTGATACTCTGTATGTAAAACAGTGTTACCCTAAATGTATACAGTGTATAATTTACACAGAAAACATTTAGAATCTTTTTCCTGCATGTGTTAATAAACAGTATCAATAAATATATGTTGTGTTTACTCTGTGTGCCTTTCCTTTTGTCTTTTCCTGTCATTAATTATTTGTTATATTCTTTCTCTGCCTGTGCCACTCAGCATTGGACACTTTCCCTGTGCTCCACAGGCATTTTTATGTGTTTGTTTGTCACAGAAACTACGAAGATAACCCTTATGAATGATTGAGTATGCATTGAGTATGTACATTAATTATTCAGTAACTACTTGGAATTATTGAGCATCTACTATGACTTACTCAGTAACTCCTATGAATTATTCAGTATCCACTATGAATTATTGAGCATCTACTATGAATTATTCAGTATCTACTATAAACTATCCAGTGTCTACTATGAATTATTTAGTATCTACTATGAATTATTCAGTAACTACAGTGAATTATTCATTATCTACTATGAATCATTCAGTATCCACTATGAATTATTCAGTAACTAATATAAATTATTCAGTAACTTATGAATTACTTAGTAACTTATATGAATTATTCAGTACCTACTGTGTTTCACCATTTCAGTCTGTAAAGGGCATCGTGATGACCCAGTGAGCTGTTTTGTTCAGAAAAACATTAAAACTATGACATTGCTGTGAATAAGCCCTAACTAGCCTGCTGTCTAGACTATATTCCCCCTGCAGACCACAAGGAAGCGTCTACATTGTCAAACTAGATTGGATTGAACTTTGTTCTGAAACATGATTGGTGGATAAAAAGGAGGACACTGTGCTGCTGTCGCTGTGTGCACTGAAGACTCTACACACTGTAAACTGTATTTCTAAGTGGAAGTTAGTTGCTCGGCTCTACTGTCCAGTCTTCTTCCTTAGAAAATCAAACCGACATCGATTGATCTGCCAAAAATGGGAATATTTTACCCTGTTTTATTGGGAGCAGGTTTGACTGCAGTTTTTTTCTTCTTTAAATTTCCTTATTTCCTGCAGGACTGCAGGTACATGGTGAATATGTTGAGGGTTGGGTCTAAAAGGGAGAAGTTTCGGGAGAGAAACTACACACTTCTGGACTGTTTTTTGGACCTGGTGCAGAAACAGCCGCACAAGCCATTCATCGTGTTTGAGGATAAGGTGCACTCCTACCTGCAGGTGGACCAGGAGAGCAATAAGGTGGCCAGGGCACTGCAGGTGCACAGCGGGTCCACGATGGCGTTGATGCTGGGAAATGAGCCGGCGATGGTGTGGATCCTGATGGGTTTGTTTAAGATCAACTGCGCTGTGTCTCTGCTCAACACCAACATCAGAGCCAAATCCCTCCTACACTGCTTCAACTGCTGCACATCTTCAGTCTTCATTGCTGGAGCAGGTACCACCAACACGCCACCAACACCCCACTAACATGCCACCAAGACACCACCAACACGCCACTCACACGCAACTAACACACCACTAAGACACCACCAACACACCACTAACATGCCACCAACACACCACCAACACACCACTCAGACGCAAGTAACACACCACTAACATGCCACCAACACACCACTAACATGCCACCAACACACCACTAACACACCACTAACATGCCACCGACACGCCATCAACACCCCACCAAAACACCACTAACATGCCACCAACACACCATCTAAACACCACCAAAACACCACTAACATGCCACCAACACACCACTAACACGCCATCAACACACCACTAACAAGCAACTAACACGCCACTAAGACACCACCAACACACCACTAACATGCCACCAGCACACCATCAACAGGCCACCAAGACACCACTAAGACACCACCAACACACCATCGACACACCACCAACATACCGCTAACACCACCAACACACTACCAATACACCACCAACACACCACCAATACACCACCAACACACCACTAACACGCCATCAACACACCACTAACACGCCACCAACACACCACTAACACCACCAACACACCACTAACACGCCATCAACACACCACCAACACGCCACAAACACACCACCAACATACCGCTAACACCACCAACATGCCACCAATGCACCACCAACATTCCACCAACACGGCAACAAGACATCACCAACACGCCACTAACACACCACCAACACGCCACCAACACGGCAGCAAGACATCACCAACATGCCATTAACACCACCAACATGCCACTAACACACTATCAACACACCACCAACATGTTACCATGTTACTAACTTTGTTGTGTCTATGATGACTGTTACAGTGTTTTGCTTTGTCGGTGGTGACTGTTATGTTGTTTTGCTATGTTGGTGATGACTCTGTTATGGTGTTTTGCCAATGCACCAACACACCACTAACACACCACCAACATGCCACCAACGCACCACCAACATTCCACCAAAACGGCAACAATGAATTATTGAGCATCTACTATGAATTATTCAGTATCTACTATAAACTATCCAGTGTCTACTATGAATTATTTAGTATCTACTATGAATTATTCAGTAACTACAGTGAATTATTCATGATCTACTATAAATCATTCAGTATCCACTATAAATTATTCAGTAACTTATGAATTATTTAGTAACTTCTATGAATTATTCAGTACCTACTGTGTTTCACCATTTCAGTCTGTAAAGGGCATCGTGATGACCCAGTGAGCTGTTTTGTTCAGAAAAACATAAAAACTATGACATTGCTGTGAATAAGCCCTAACTAGCCTGCTGTCTAGACTGTAATTCCCCCTACAGACCATAAGGAGGCGTCTACATTGTCAAACTAGATTGGATTGAACTTTGTTCTGAAACATGATTGGTGAATAAAAAGGAGGACACTGTGCTGCATAAACCTGTTATTGGTGTGTTGGTAACATGGTGGTGTGTTAATAGTGTGTTAGTGGCATGTTGGTGGTGTGTTAGTGGAGTGTTAGTGTCATGTTGGTGATGTCTTGCTGCTGTGTTGGTGGCGTGTTGGTGGTGTGTTAGTGGCGTGTTGGTGATGTCTTGTTGCCGTGTTGGTGGAATGTTGGTGGTGCGCTGGTGGCATGTTGGTGGTGTGTTAACACTCCACTCCACTAACACACCACCAACATGCCTCTAACACACTATTAACACACCACCATGTTACCAACACACCAATAACATACCACAAACACACCACCAACATGCCACCAACATGCCATTAACACAGCAACGAGACCTCACCAACATACCACCAACGCACCACCAACACACTATTAACACACTACCAACACGCCACTACCACACCACCAACATGCCACTAACACACCACCAACACACCACCAATGCACCACCAACACACCACCAATGCACCACAAACACACTATTAACACACTACCAACACACCACCAGCACCCCACCAACACACCACCAAAACACCATTAACACACCACCAACATGCCACCAACATGCTATTAACACACCACCAACATGTTACCAACATACCACTAACACACCACCAACACACCACCAATACACCACCAACGCTCCACGAACACACCATTAACACACCACCAACTGTTACAGTGATGACTGTTACAGTGTTTTGTTGTGTCGCTGATGACTGTTATGTTGTTTTGCTGTGTTGGTGATGACTCTGTCAGTGTTTTGCTGTGTCTGTGATGACTGTTACAGTGTTTTGCTGTGTCAGAGATGACTCTGTTACGAGGGTTTTTTGTGTTGGTGATGACTTACAGTGTTTCACTGTGTCAGTGATGACTGTTATCATGTTTTACTGTGTCAGTCATCTCTGTTACAGTATTTTGCGGTGTCAGTGGTGACTCTATTACAGTGTTTCGCTGTGTCAATGATGACTCTATAACAGTGTTTCGCTGTGTCACTGATGACTCTGTCACAGTGTTTCGCTCTGTCAGTGATGACTCTTTTACAGTTTTTTGCTGTGTCGGTGATGAATCTGTCATGGTGTTGCGCTGTCGGTGATGACTATCAGTGTTTCACTGTGTCAGTGATGACTTTGTTATAGTGTTTTGCTGTGTCGGTGATGACTCTAACGCTGCAGTGTGTTGTCTCAGAGCATCGGGAGGTGGTGTGCGAGGTGCTGCCGGAGCTGAAGGCGCAGGGTGTGTATGTGTATGTGCTGGGTGATGATGGCGGGGTCGAGGGTCTGCACAACCTCGCCGAAAAAATACAGCAACAACCAAACACACCTGTACCCCCCTCACCCAGAGGGAACATCAGCATGAACAGCCCCGCACTGTACATCTACACTTCAGGAACCACAGGTACAATCACACACACACACACCTATACAAGTTCTCAAAGAAATCTGCAGACACACCTCCAAAGTTCAGTCTTAGAAGGTGGTTGATCAGTTTCTGAAGTAATCAAACACACTCAGTGATGTTGTGATTTTAATCTCCTTAACACCCCGTGGTTCTGCAGGTCTTCCTAAAGCTGGCCTGGTTCTACACAGCAGACTCGCCACCTCATCTCTGTTCCTGTCTATGGTGGGTGTGAAGTCGGATGATGTGCTTTATATCCCGCTGCCTCTTTATCACGCTGCAGGGCTGCTGATTGGTCTGGCTGGAGCGATAGAACGAGGTAAGATCACAGTTACTCCCTCACTCCACTTTGTCTCTTATTGTGTCCCCAGTGACCTCTCCAGGCTCCACCCACAGCCATGTTCTTTCATATCTACTGTTGTGAGGCTGGACACACCATTCAACCTGACCAGAAACTGTAGAACAGACTCAGTTTATATCACAATACCTACATTTAGAGTCAGTTATTCATTCAACCTAATGAGAAACTGTAGAACAGTCTCAGTTTATATCGCAATACCTACATTTAGAGTCAGTTATTCATTCAACCTAATGAGAAACTGTAGAACAGACTCAGTTTATATCACAATACCTACATTTAGAGTCAGTTATTCATTCAACCTAATGAGAAACTGTAGAACAGTCTCAGTTTATATCGCAAAACCTACATTTAGAGTCAGTTATTCATTCAACCTAATAAGAAACTGTAGAACAGACTAAGTTTATATCACAATACATACATTTAGAGTCAGTTATTCATTCAACCTAATAAGAAACTGTAGAAGTGAACATGTGTACTTAGTCTGCAGTTGAGACTCAGGAACTCTCTGATATTCACGTCTGAGCTCAAAGTTCACCTGTAGGAAGACAGTTTCTGGGCCTGTTCTAATAACGTACTTTACACCTCCACAGTTCAGCAGAGGAGTTTATTTATTAAGTTGCAGTGTAATTGACTGTGTTCAGTACTGAGTGAACTTGAGTCACGCTAGAACACACAGAGCGGTCGGGAGTGCTAGGGGTAACGCAAATCAAAGTACAGTTCATTTCTCCTGTAATAAAACAGTGCAGCTCAATTTTCTGCTGGGAATTTCATGAATTTAATCCTTTTGTTGCCATCCAAAACTAAGAAATGAGCAGACGTAGTGCTGTAACGGTACACATCCATTGTTGCCACAGTCCACTGCGCCAACTCTTTTATTATGTAAAAAATCTCCCAGAAATCACTAGACAGTCTTGATGGTTCCTCACTGGTAGTCCTGTTCTATTCAACCTCACACTAATGTATTCATAAAGCAGGCTAATAGATATCAGCACCTGTTTGTGGCGAGCAATGATGGAGCTCCTTTAGCCTCATAGCAGGACTGTAATCTATGTTTTTGGTGTTGGTCTAAATACGAGGAGGATGAAGTTAAACATCTGAAGGTTCCTCTAACAGGACAGACTGATCTCTGACCTGTTGGGCTGTTATTTACTTTACCAGCCTAACGCTGTTCTATCTGATATTTGCTAAATGTTTGTTTTTGTTGTTTGCCTAGATCTGCTTAATCCCAACATTTTGTTCAGGTTTATATGAGCCAATTTCTCAGACTTTTGATCTGTACAAATCAGCCAGTCATGTCCAGACAAGTTACAATAATGTACCTCCTCTAGCAAAACTAATCCAGAGCTATATTAACTATGAGTGATGCATTTAAATCATTACTGATGTGGAAAAAATATAATCCAAATGTATTTATCAAATATGCTTTTGAAATGTATGAAAATGGCCAAAAAATGTATGTGTTAAATATATTTTTAAAATGCACTTATTTGTATTCATTATTAGATGTGTTCTGTGTGTAGTTGTAATAAAGGTTACAGGTGTAACTAAACGGTACTGACTTCTCTGTTCTGCATTGTACACAATGTATTTCAAATAAACAAGATATCAAATCATAACTGCATTTTCACAGAGTATCAATACCTACAACACTTGCTTTTGTCATGTTAAAGGTCCATTTGATCATATTTAAAATTAAAATACATTTACATACATTTGATAAAATACATTTACATACATTTATTTTTGTATGATACATTTCTATGTGTAATATCTCCCTGTACATTTTAAAATAAATGTATTTTAAAATATATTTTGTTAATATGGCAATATATTCAGAAATACATTTTAGTGTTTGGAATGTTTTCCAAATATATTGCAATACATGTCCATATATTTTTTCCATATGGTAATGGATCAGTCTCTCAGAGGACCTGCTATGAGAGTGAGGCTTCTTTGTGTTTGTGTAGGTATCACAGTGGTGCTGAGGAGGAAGTTCTCAACATCTCAGTTCTGGAAGGACTGCAGGAAGCACAACGTGACAGTGATCCAGTATATTGGAGAGACCATGCGCTACCTCTGTAACACACCCAAGGTAACACACCAGCATCCTCAGACACACACCATTATAGCACTAATTCAACAAAATGTCAAATGTCCTATTAACCCAAAAGCAGTCAATCAGCCAAGACGTGCTTGGTGTGTGAAGTTTGTGTTTTTAGTTTCAACTGTGCAGATATGAGGCTAATGTAGCTTACAAGTAATGGAAGCTTATACTCCACCAATTAGCATGATCCTAACTGCATAATTCATCACACATTTACCTCAAGCGCTTCCTTTTCGCAACCTTCTAATTCTGATTCTTAATAGGTTCAAAAGTTATGTTCTGGTGTGTGGAGGTGTTCAATAATCTCTAATAAACCTAATTATGTGGTTTCTTTACACAGCTGGTATCTTGTCAAGTAAAATTATCTTAACTCCTGTCAATAAATCTATTATTTCTCCTGCTGAAATTTTTGTAATTTTAATTCAAGGTTATTTAACTTATTTCTAGACATTTTAACTTGTTTTAATTAAAGTTATCTCACTATTTTGGCAGATAGTTTTGCTTCTTTGAAGAAATGTGCTTTAAACAATCAAAATGATCTGCTAGAATAGTGAGATAATTTTACATGATAAAATTACCTAAACCAAGTAGATACAATTTTTTTGCAGTATGTAACAAACTGTTACCTTTAAACGTGGACAACAGTACACAGTATCATTTTAAAAAGGTTAAGATGGAGCAACACTGAGATAAACTGACAAACCTAATGGACACCAGACTCACACTGCCTCACTCAGTTTCTGACGATCTGACTGCTGTTCTCCTAGACAGATAATGATCGTCAGCATAAAGTCAGACTGGCCATTGGGAACGGGCTGCGTGCCGACGTGTGGCATGATTTCCAGCGCAGGTTTGGGCCTTTGGACATTAAAGAGTTCTACGCTGCCTCTGACGGAAACATGAGCTTTGTAAACTACACTGGGAAAGTGGGCGCTGTGGGCAGGGTCAACTTCTTCCACAGCGTGAGTGTGCTGGACAGATATTTGTCTGAAAATGACTGTTCACATCTAATCAATATTTGCCATTAATAATTCAAGTCTGGTTTAAAATTTATAATAGTGTTTCTCATAACCTCATTTGATGGCTACAGTCGGGTTCAGCCAGAATTTTGTGGGCTACAGTTGGGTTCAGACTGAATTTTGTGGCTTCAGTCGAGTTCAGACAGAACTTTGTGGGCTACATTCGGATTCAGACAGAACCTTGTTGGCTACATTTGGGTTCCGACAGACTTTTGTGGGCTGCAGTCGGGTTCAGACAGAATTTTGTGGGCTACAGTCGGTTCAGACAGAATTTTGTGAGCTACAGTCGGTTCAGACAGAATTTTGTGGGGCTACAGTTGGGTTTAGACAGAATTTTGTGGGGCTACAGTTGGCTTTAGACAGAATTTTGTGGGACTACAGTTGGGTTCAGACAGAATTTTGTGGGCTATAGTCGGTTCAGACAGAATTTTGTGGGCTACAGTTGGGTTCAGACAGAATTTTGTGGGCTACAGTTGGGTTCCGACAGAATTTTGTGGGGCTACAGTCGGGTTCAGACTGAATTTTGTCAGCTACAGTGGGGTTCAGACAGAATTTTGTGGCTATAGTCAAGTTTAGACAGAATTTTGTGGGCTACAGGCAGATTCAGACAGACGTTTGTGGGGCTACAGTCGGTTCAGGCAGAATTTTGTGGGGCTACAGTCAGGTTGAGACAAAATTCTGTCAGCTACAGTTGGGTTCAGACAGACGTTTGAAAGGGCTACAGTCGAGCTCATACAGAATTTTGTAGGGCTACAGTCGGGTCGGACAGATTTTTGTGGGCTTCAGTCGGGTTCAGACAGAATTTTGTGGGGCTACAGTCAGGTTCAGACTGAATTTTGTGGGGCTACAATTGGGTTCAGACTGAATTTTGTGGGCTACCATTGGGTTCAGACAGAATTTTGTGGCTATGGTCGAGTTCAGACAGAATTTTGTGGGCTACAGTCAGATTCAGATAGAAGCTTGTAGGGCTACAGTCGGTTCAGGCAGAATTTTGTGGGCTACAGTCGGGCTCAGACAGAATTTTGTGGGCTACAGTCGGGCTCAGACAGAATTTTGTGGGCTACAGTTGGGTTCAGACAGAATTTTGTGGGCTACAGTCGAGTTCAGCCAGTATTTTTTTCTTGCAGAAAGTGTTTCCATATGCACTGATTCAGTTTGATGCTGTGCGAGAGGAGCCAGTCAGAAACAACAAGGGGCGCTGTGTGCCTGTTCCAACAGGTCAGTACACTTTCTGTTCACCCTAAAATGATTATTTTGTTTAGGTCAGTCCAGCTCCAGCACTAGAGGACAGGTGTGTTATTTTCTGCCCTAACACAACTGCTAAACACAGTAATTTACTCAGTTACGCTACTCAGGTAAGGTTTTGATAGATGGATCATTTCAAATGCTAATGCTTTTAATTCTACTCAAGTTTATTAGTATGAAATGTCATTTTTTGGGTTTAATTTATTTATGTTGCTCGCTGCTCTCACTTTGGAGAATTAGCATTTTATTTTAGACCAGAAGGATGCAAAAAGAGAAGAATAGAGCCATATATACTTCAGAGCCTAGTTGGTGTCTTGGTGTAATAGAAAATCAAGTGAGAAGCCAAAGTCAGCCTCATAGTTGATATGCTGATAGATGCTAGATGTTCCAAGATGCTCCACAGTGGTTCAACAGGGGCCGTAATTCCAGACTTCAGAACAGTACAACAGTTGCTGCTTGTGTTTGTGCAGGTGAAACTGGTCTCCTGGTGGTAAAGATAACAAAGGTGGCTCCGTTTGTGGGCTATGCGGGGAATCCAGAGCAGACGGAGAAGAAAAGGCTGCGGGATGTTTTCCAGCCGGGAGATGTTTACTTAAACAGTGGAGACCTGCTGAAGATCGACCACGACAACTTCATCTACTTCCAGGATCGAGTCGGAGACACCTTCAGGTAGAGTTCAGACACACGAAAATCTCTCCACGTTTCCTGATATGTTAAATTAACGTTTATATTCCATAATGAGATACTTGTTTAAATAAATCTGTAGTTTAGAGGTTTGTAGGCTACCAATTAGCATATTAAAAATGTAGACGCTTTGGAATTGTGTTAGATTTAAGTCGCATGCCGTGTCATTGACATAAACTAAAAACTGATATTATATTGTCATTTGGTAACATTAGCTAACTAGCTAATGCTGGTTAGGCATTGGTTTTGTTGTTTGTTAATAATTCTAGCTAGTAATGATAATGTTAGTTCTACCATTATAACATTAATAATATACAGCTAACTAGCCGTTAGTTCTACCATGCTATTGATAACTTAGCTAATATTAGCCCTAGCTCGCTTAACGTTCTGGGTGTTTGACCATAAGTGTATTTTCAAGGTTTTTCAAGGTGCCAGTATTTGAGTATTGAAATCACTATTTGGTTATTTTTTACGGAGAAAATATACAAACCAACACTGATTCTAAGTTTTACCCTTTTTAAGCATTACTGCTCAGTTTCAAATGTTTTGCTCAGATCTGGTCGTTACTGAGTTGAAGTGGAACAAATCCGATTTTTTTTTGCCCTAATGTGACACAGAGCCGTGTGGACACTTCTTTAAAATTCAGATCTGAGCCACTTTCATATGTGTTAATGTTGTATCAGATATTTATTCATGATTGTGCAACCACAATAAAAATTGCTCAGATCAGAATTCATGATCAGAATTTTTTTCACTGAGCGTACACCATCATTCAGCATTTCCATGGCAACAGCATCAAACCTGAAATTAGTTCTCACTGATGGTCATTCTGCTTGTTTGCTGGTTGCTGTTCATGATGCATTTGATTGACTGACGTGGCGTTATTAATTAGGATCTGCGCTTGTGGGTCGCTTCAGGACGCAGGTTCACATTAATGACAGATTTGAGTTACTTACCTGAATGAATGTCAACTGTCAAAGTTAAAAGATCAAATCAGAGCAAAAAAAACAGATTTGTATGTTCACACTGCTCTGAAAAAGTCAGATCTGTTCACATTAAGGCAAAAAAGAACAGAAACAGATTTGTGCCGCTTCAGCCTGATAATCTGAACGTAACGTTTTACATATACATATTCAATTTGCTATGCACATATGCCATCGTTCATGTGACAGGACACAGGATCGCACACATAAATGACAGATTTGAATCATTTACCTACATGAATGTGAACCATTGAATTAGAAAGATCAGATATGAGCAAATAATCAGAACTGAGCTATGAAGGTTTTAATGTGAACATAGCCAAAGTGATTTAGATTTGAATTTAAAAAATCAGACAAATCGAGAGCTACATGGACACATCGTCCACTGAGGAGAGAAAACACCTGTAGACCAAAGTGGATAGTCCAGGTCCAGAAAGTAAAACTCCACCTCTCTGAACACCTCTGCTGTTGGTTGAGCAAACTAGAGAAGCCAGGAAGTCGGAACAAAATCCTGGACAGGGTTTTTACTCTCTGGACCCAGGTTAGCCCTACTCCCACACCTGTAGAAGGTGACAAGTGTGCATCAGCACCACTGTTAGCTGTTAGCTGCATTAGCTCATCAGAGACGCCATTATCCTACCGATTTTCCTTGGCTGTTCCTCTGCTTTTAAGCTTTTAGTGTTTTTTTTCTCCACCGTTAATCGGAGATCCGTTCTTGAACATAAACTCGAACATCAAAGTTAATTAGAAAGCACACACCCGCTCAGAACCCTCAAGGAGATCAGAGAAAAAAGAGGCGGGGCTAAAGCACAGGTGACCTGTCTCACCTGCGTCACTCCACCTGTGTCTTGTCTTTGCTGTGCAGGTGGAAGGGGGAAAATGTTGCCACCACTGAAGTTGCTGATGTCCTTGATATGCTGGATTTCATTGAAGGTGCCAACATTTATGGTGTGAAAGTTCCAGGTACAGCAAAAACTCTGACTGAATTAGGAATTACTCTTAGTCTTACATCGCACTGTGTTCTGGGCAGGCCAGTCTCTGCACTGGACAAAGGCAGGCAGACACCTAGAGCCCTAAATACATATCAGATATATGGTATTTATACTTCTACTAAACCTCAATGTAGACTTGCATAACACTGTAGGGGAAAAGAATTGCAAAGAAAACAAAATAAGACCAAAATGATTACCAAAACAGTACATTGGATACATAAAAATGTAAATAATAAGAGAGTGCAATGATATAAAATCATTTAAACTCTATATCTAATTGAAAATTGTACAAAGACAACATATGAAGTGTTGAAATCAAGTAATTTTATTGTTTTTGAAAAATATATTCCTATTCTGAATTTGCCAGTAACACATTGGCAGTAACATATTCCAAAAAAGTTGGGACAGGGGCAACAAATGACTTGTAAATTTGTGTGAAGCTAAAAACATACCTGTTGGAACATCCCACATCTTATTAGGTATTGAGTATAAAAGAGCATCTCAGAGAGGCTCAGTCTTTCATAAGTAAATACGAGGAGGAGTTCACCTCAGGGGCAAATAGTGCAACAAGTAAAGTAATAAAGAACTTCGGGATTTCATCTATGGTACATAATATCATTGAAAGATTCAGAGAATCCAGAGGAATCTGTGTATGTAAGGGACAAAACTAAAAACCATTATTGGCTAGCAAAGATCTTCAGGCCCTCAGACAACACTGCATTAAAAACAGACATAATTCTGCAGTGGAAATCACTGCATGGGCTCAGGAACACTTCCGAAAAAACACTGTCTGTGAACACAGTTTGCCGCTGCATCTACAAATGCAAGTTAAAACTCTAAAATACAAAGAAGAAACCAAATATAAACAGGATCCAGAAACACCACTACTTTCTCTGGGCCCGAGCTCATTTAAGGTGGACTGAGGGGAAGTGGAAAAGTATCCTGTAGTAGCCGACGAATCAAAATTTGAAATTCTTTTTGAAAATCATGGATACTGCATTTTCTGTACTAAAGAGGAGAGGGACCATCCGGCTTGTTTCCCGGCACAGTTCAAAAGCCAGTATTCATGGTATAGGGGTGCATTAGTGCAGATGGCATGGGTGACTTGCACATCTATGAAGGTGCCGTTAATGCTGAATGATATATACATGTTTTGGAGCAACATATGCTGCCATCCAGACAACGTCTTTTTTCAGGGAAGGCCTTGATTATTTCAGCAGGACAATGTCAAACCACATTCTGCACATTTCACAGCAGCATGGCTCTGCAATAAAAGGGTTCAGGTGCTAAACTGACCTGCCTGCAGTCCAGACCTGTCACCACTGAAAACATTTGGCATATTATGAAACAAAAAATACTACAAAGGAGAACCTGAACTATTGAGCAGATGAAATCCTCTATCAAGCAAGAATGAGTCAACATTTCACTTTCAACACTACAGCAGTTGGTCTCCTCAGTTCCCAAACACTTGCAGAGTGTTGTTACAAGAGGTGATGCACCACAATGGAAAACATAGCCCTGTCCCAACTTTTTTGAAATGGGCTGCTGGAATCAAATTCAAAATGGGCATATATTTTATAAAAAACAGTAATATTTTTCAGTTTCAACATTTGTTCTCTTTGTACTATTTTAATTAAACATAGGGTTTAAATTATTTGCAAATCATTGTATTCTGTTTTTATTCATATTTTGCACAAATATTTTTGTTAAAAGACTTTTTGTTAACAAACTTTGTTAACAGAGTTGTACTAAAATCACTTAAAACCAGTAAGAAATGTCTTGAAATAAGTTAAACAATCTTATGCTATACCAACAACAGTCTCAAAATGAAAATTATTAGATACTTAGACTAGATTAAAGATAATTTCATTTTTTTAGATAATTTTTGCAGTGCTGTCATGGTTCTAATGGACTACTCCATGTTGTTACATGTTGCATAAAGACAGAAGGGTATGAACAATGTAATAAAGCAATAATCTATGTTTTGGACAGGAATTCTTTTTGAGTATTGAGAGGGAAAATCAAATAAAGCTGTATAAAGAGCACTGCATAGACTCAGCAGTACATAAGGCTAACGCTAATGTTAGTGTAGATAGCGCCAGTGTTGGAGTAATTACTCAAAAGCAGTAACACATAACAATTACTGATTACTTCTCTTTGAATGTGATTAGATTACTGATTACTTGCTGGAAAAAGTCATTCATTTCTCACTACTTTACCTCTACACTACTCTGTACCTTATCATATCAGCAGATACAGTGTATTACTTAAGACAAGCAGAATGAGCCAACATGGTCAGATCATTTCACTTAATACAATTACTCAAGTAAAAATTATCTAGAAGTAGTTTATATTTTTACAACAATCTCAAAATAAGAAATACTAAGATTAATTAATTATTTTAAGTCATGTTTTGCAGCGTAGACGGTTGGGAGCCTAGAGCCTCAACTTAAATTTAAACATGTGCATCTAGGGGGCCCGTTCCTGTCTTTAGAACAGGACCCCTGAGTCACAAACTCCACCCCTGGTTCTGGCTGGTGGTTTAAGCTGATGGACTGAGCACATGGTGAAGGTGTGATTCCTGGATGGATGCAGGTGTGAGATGATGGTGACAGATTAGAGCCGATCATTAACTTTTACGGCTGATTCTGAGAAATGAGCAGCTTCTTTACAGCAGGCATGTCAAACATGTGGCCGCAGCACCATAAAGGCTCTAATTCAGTGTGGAGCCCAGTCTCACATCCTTGCCCTGATTTCACAAGCAGTTATCACGATTTCATTATCATGCCGGCCACTACAGTCACCTGTGAAACCTGCTGCTGATTTCATTTGTCTGTGTGTGCAAGCTTTGCTGCGTTTATTTACGAATCAATTTGTTTAAAAATGATAGGCACATACAAATCAGCCCACACTGTCAGAAAAAAGGTTCTGTTCAGGTATATTTTTCTTTCATCAAACAATGAAGCAGTACACATATTCTTACAACAATCTCATAGTGGTAAAAAGAGATATTAAGTACATTTACGCTGTTACACTTTCAACATAAATTTCTACATTCATTTTTAGTTTTAATTAGGTTTTTTAACTATCATAATTTAACTTCTAATTTGATTTTTAATTTAATTGCTTTCTCTTTTATATCTATTGTTTTAATACTGTTTTAAAATAAAAATTTTAATTCCTTTTCTCAGTAACTTTTTTTAAATAACCCTGTATTTTCTCTTTTGTAAAGCACTTTGAATGACAGCAGTGTATGAAAGGTGCTGTATAAATAAACTTGTCTTGCCTACATTAATAAAAAAGATGGTTCTTCAAGGGTTCTTTAGTAAAGACTGTGGTTCTATATCGAACCATAAACACTCAAAGAACCATTTGCATGATTAAAGGATTCTTTGCATGATGAAATTGTTCCTAAAATTGACGGAGAATTTGTTGTAAATGGTTCTATATAGAACCCTTTTGAAAATGCTTCTGTATAGCACTGAAAAGGGTTCTGATATTGTGGTGATGTCAAGCTTGTAACAATAGCAGAACCCTTTTTGGTGCTATATAGAACCATATACAATACATTCTCCATCAATCTGAAGAACCATACCATAAAAAAGCACCATTTAAGCATGCAAAAATTGTGTTTTGAGAAATAATGCAGATGAGAAATATTAGAGATTTTGAGCACATTTAAGCTGTTTCTAAGATAGGCATGTCAAACTGAGGACCTTCCGGGCCAAAGTGCTGTGAGATAAGACTTTACCGTACGCTCTGAATTCAGATCATGAAGGCCTAATTAGCTGATAAGCTGAATCAGGTGTGTTTAATGAGGCAGTGAGCTGAAGTCTATGGTGTTTTGGCCCACCAGGACTGGCGTCTGACACGTATCCTGGTGTGAAATGTCACTCCAATCAGATGCATCTCTGTCTGGACGCTCTGGACACTCAAATCAGATTTCAAAGTGTCTTTTGCGTCACTCACAACACGACAAACAACGAGGACGTCAAATCCAGAGTGACGAAGAGCTGGGACTCAAGAAGAGCTCCAAAGATTCATGATTATGAAGAGAATTCTGAAGAGTTTGGAGGGCGAGATGATGCTCCTCCATCTCTCCAGCATCCGCGTTTGAAATCCGCATCACCAGCTAGCCATGTAGTTGCTGACGACTACGTTATTACCACAGCAACCCATGCAGATAGGCTGGTGATGTCTGGACACACAAATCTGATTTAATAATCTGCAGATAACAGAGCGGACAGTTGACTCAAAAGAACCAATTTGAGAAACAAATCTGATTTACCTGCAGTCTGAACATAGCCATAGATATCATATTTTGCAGTGTAGTCTCTGTTATTCCACCAGGGGGCAGAATAAAGTTATGAATTCAGGGCTGGATTATAAACTACTGACAGAACATGCTAATGAAGTGTAATTCTTCATCAACACGCTAATAGTTTCATGCTGTAAGTCTCTTTTCAAAAGAAACACACAGTGTGGAATTTTCAAAAAGAAACTGGTGAGTGTGATGTTCCCTAAAGTGAGCTGGACACTCTGCTTTACAGCCAGATTAGCTGATGGACAGCTTTTTCATCTTTTTTAAACCTAAAATTCACACTGTGGGACCACATCCATGGGAAAACCATGTCACAAAGGTTGAAGGCCTAAAAAGATGCTTAAAATATTAGACACGGCTCCAAAAGTCGGTATGTACATTTACACAGTTGACCCAAGACTAAATAATACTTGTTCCTTATGATTTCTCTGATTTTTTTTATTCTGTTTCATAGTCGCTTTGCATATGTAAAGCTCGTCACAAATTTTTAAATCATTTTTAATATAAAACAATATTTTTAGGGGTTTAACTTTGAATAATTAGTCCACACGTATTCACTATATTTCATTTATTTATTAATAATTGTGTTTATCAGGCAGCACATAACTTCTATGTGTCACCGGTGTTATGTGCTTTAATGGCTGGGTAATTCAAATTTTGTCAAAATAAATATATATCATAAATATATCATTTTTGTTGCTTATTTTAAATAGTTGCACAATTCACCTGACCACCAATGAGTCAACCAATTTACACAATCCTCAGTTTTAACCAGAATGTCACTGGAGTCACTGTCACTGGTGTCACACCATATTCTTATAACACCAGTGACTGTAAAATACACTATATTGCCTAAAGTATTCACTCACCCATCCAAATCATTGAATTCAGGTGTTCCAGTCACTTCCATGGCCACAGGTGTATAAAACCAAGCACCTAGGCATGCAGACTGCTTCTACAAACATTTGTGAAAGAATGGGTCACTCTTAGGAGCTCAGTGAATTCCAGCGTGGTACTGTGACAGGATGCCACCTGTGTAACAAGTCCAGTCGTGAAATTTCCTCGCTACTAAAAATTCCACAGTCAACTGTCAGTGAAATTATAACAAAGTGGAAGTGACTGGGAACGACAGCAACTCAGCCACGAAGTGGTCGGCCACGTAAAATGACAGAGCGTAGTCAGCGGATGCTGAGGCGTATAACGCGCAGAGCAGTGGAGACATGTTCTCTGGAGTGACAAATCACGCTTCTCTGTCTGGCAATCTGATGGACGAGTCTGGGTTTAGCGGTTGCCAGAAGAACGGTACTTGTCTGACTGCATTGTTTTTCAGGAGTTGGGTTCGGCCCCTTAGTTCCAGTGAAAGGAACTCTTAATGCTTCAGCATAACAAGAGATTTTGGACAATTCCCTGCTCCCAACTTTGTGGGAACAGTTTGGGGATGGCCCCTTCCTGTTCCAACATGGCTGCGCACCAGTGCACAAAGCAAGGTCCATAAAGACATGGATGAGCGGGTTTGGTGTGGAAGAACTTAACTGGCCTGCAGTCCTGACCTCAACCCGACAGAACACCTTTGGGATGAATTAGAGCGGAGACTGCGAGCCAGGCCTTCTCGTCCAATATCAGTGTCTGATCTCACAAATGCACTTCTGGAAGAATGGTAAAAAATTCCCATAAACACACTCCTAAACCTTGTGGAAAGCCTTCCCAGAAGAGTTCAAGCTGTTATAGCTGCAAAGGGTGGGCCGACACCATATTAAACCCTATGGATTAAGAATGGGATGTCACTCTGGCAATATAGTGTATGTTTGGAATTTTTGCATATATAATAACAATAAGAGATGTAAATGGACAAATTAAGATTGTTTAGTTTTGGGATGAAAGAAATGTATCCACTTGAATTCCCACACCAAATGGAGAATGACCCTAATAACTTTATTTACTTGTTAATGAGCTGCAGCAGCGCGAGAGCTCTTACCTCCCTCAATTTATTTACCTCATTAAACTACAGCACAGATCAACATGAAAATCATAAACTGACTGATAGTATCTCATGTCTTTTATTATGAGCTTTAAAACGGATGGAGAGTTTTGGAAAAGTGGTATTTTTTACCCCACACTCAGAACAGGATACATTTCAATACTGTATATACACCGATCAGGCATAATATTATGACCACCTCCTTGTTTCTACGCTCATTGTCCATTTTATCAGCTCCACTTACTATATAGGTGCGCTTTGTAGTTCTACAGTTACAGACTGTAGTCCATCTGTTTCTCTGCATACTTTGTTAGCCCCCTTTTATGCTGTTGGCTGGATATTTTTGGTTGGTGGACTATTCTCAGTCCAGCAGTGACACTGAGGTGTTTAAAAACTCCAGCAGCACTGCTGTGTCTGATCCACTCAGACCAGCACAACACACACTAACACACCACCACCACGTCAGTGTCACTTGCAGTACTGAGAATGATCCACCACCCAAATAGTACCTGCTCTGTGAGGGTCCATGGGGGTCCTGACCACTGAAGAACAGGGTAAAAGGGGGCTAACAAAGTATGCAGAGAAACAGATGGACTACAGTCTGTAGGAGGACAAGGAGTCATAATGTTATGCCTGATCGGTGTATATTTATTTTTTATTCTATTATTAGTATTACAGAAAATGATATGTCTTAAATGAGGAAACATTTTATTAATGCATGTTTCATAATTGTGAATCATGTGTTTTACATACAATTCCAAAATATACACCTCGTATTTCTGTATGAATTAATTATATGTTAATTGATTCAGTATTTTGATTCAGGAAATTTTATTCATGCATTTTTTCTGTGTTTTTGCTTCATATTTAACACATTTTGGTAATTATAATGTCCCTTTATGTACATTGATTCTGTATTTGTTATTGAAAGATATTTTTAGCAGTTATAAATTGTGTAAATCTCAGTGCTGTATAAATGAATAATGATAATATGTGTTGTGTGTGTGAAGGTCATGAGGGTCGTGTTGGAATGGCAGCGGTCACTCTGAAGGAAAACCTCGAGTTCGACTGCAGAGAGACCTTTAACCACGTCACCAGTTTCCTGCCTGTTTACGCCAGACCGAGATTCATACGCATCCTGGTACAATATTTACAACAAACACACAAATAAAAAAACACGGGTCACACATTTGACACCTTTAAGTTAATGAATGCTGCTTCTGTCCGTTTCAGGAGTCTATGGAGCTGACAGGAACGTTTAAGCAGGTGAAGGTGAAGTTAGTGAAGGAGGGGTTTGATCCCGAAGTCGTTCCTCCGCCCCTCTACGTCCTGCATGAGAGCAGCAGCAGCTACATCCCCCTCACACAGTCCTACTACAGCTCCATCGTAGCGGGGGAGATACGCTTCTGAACGTACAGCGTCACCCTGAGGGACTGACTGGTTTAACAGGTTAAAACTGGAAAACATGCTAGCTGCTAATGCTAGCTGCCTCTCTGTAAGCTGTATAGATCCCTGCAATCACTGCTCTGCTGAGCAGCATGCCTCATACCTGCTGCTCTGTGAGCTTCATTGTTGCAGGACCAAAACGGTCAAGCTGGTCCACCAATTTGGTCAAGCTGCTCATGCTGGTCGCCCAGTTTGATCAAGCTTATCATGTTGGTCCCCCAGCTTGGTCAAACTGGTCATACTGGTCCAACAGCTTGGTCAAGCTGGTCATACTGGTCCACTAGTTTGGTCAAGCTTGGTCATACTGATTCACCCGCTTGGTCACACTTGTCATTCTGGTTCACCAGTTTGGTCAAGCTGGTCATGATGGTCACCCAACTTGGTCAAGCTGGTCATATTGGTCCACTAGCTTGGTCACATTTGTCATGCTGGTCACCCAACTTGGTCAAGCTGGTCATGACTGTCCCACAACTTGGTCAAACTGGTCATACTGATCCACCAGCTTGGTCAAGCTGGTCATGCTGGTCGCCCAACTTGGTCAAGCTGATCATACTGGTCCCCCAACTTGGTCAAGCCGATCATATTGGTCCCCCAACTTGGTCACGCTGATCATATTGGTCCCTTAACTTTGTCAAACTGGTCATGTTGGTCCACTAGCTTTGTCAAGCTGGTCATGTTGGTCCACCAGCTAAACCGCCAAAGTCAAAGAAAAACATATTACATACTGGTCTTAACCAGCTTGAGCAGACCAGGCTGATTTTTTAGCAAGATTTTGTTTTTTTTTTTCAAATGATTAATTACATTACTGATACTGAAAGTCATGTGTTTAGCACTGAACCTCATATGGAACATTTGTTTAGAGTGTAATTCTCCTGTCCTGTGATGAAACTGTGATAACTGTCCACACTGTTTTTGCTCTACGTGACTGTAAGAGCGTAAATGTGGTGCACTTCAATGGTTGTGATAATCGGCTGTAATTCCAATATTGGAAAAATGATCCTCCCATTTATCTGTGAATACTGTTGACCGCTGATGTATCCTGTACCTGTAGTGTGTTCAGTGATGACTGAATGTGTTTCTGAACTGTGGAGACAATGAGGTCCTGAATCAGAAGCATCACTGAGTTTACTGACTGGTGTTGTGCTGCCCTCTGTCTTTCAGACCAGGTACAGCAGGACCTGTTCAGTTGTCCTGATCAGCTCTCAGATGAGAATATATGAACTTTCTGAAGAAGAAACTGGAGATACAGCAACTTTAATAAGCCAGTCCTGGTGCTCTTCCACAAGAGCACAGTTTTATGTCTGACAGTGTGTGTGTGTTACAGCTTTATGGGATCAATAATCTGATCACAGAACAGTTAATCGAATAATTGTAATTATCGATTGTATTGTAAAAGCTTTGCATGTTTGTGTGATGATGTTTGCAGAATAATATCAGAATAAAGATATATTTAATATTACTTACATATTATTTTCATAGTAGTTACTGAAGTAATTCGCTGCTGTCAGAACAAAACCTTGTGTCTCCATTTTTGTCCATTTTTCAGTTTTTGACATATTGTGAAAATGCCTGTTGCTCTTTACATTGTGGGAAATTTCATGATAACTGGACCACAAGAAATGACCCAGAATTACTTGGAAAAAAGTCTGATTCCACTGACTTAAATGAAAGTAAAGTATGTTTTTTCCTTCTCCTGTAAAGTTACCATTTTGGAGAAACAAGGTCTTGTTCCGACAACAGCGAATTGTAGATGCCGAATAACTGCAAAATAAATAATATTGCACACTGAAAATAATGCAATTATCAGTTTACTGTAAAAAAAAAAACCAGTGCTAAATGTGTCACTTAATGAGGATACTTCAGCATTTATAGGTATATGACTATTGATAAATTACTTGATCTTTTATAGTACTACTACTACTACTACTACTAATAATAATAATAATAATAATAATAGTAATAATAATAATAATAAAAATAATAATAATATTAACTCATTTTATGCCCTAAAATGCATCTCAGTGTTTTATGCAGAAAGACCAAATAAAACAAGCATAACCTAGGAACAGAAAATAATAAAAGAAAATAAAAAGGTAATAATTAAATTAAAAGAAAATTAACAACACAATACCAAATGATAATGTACATAAAATCTCGAGAAAAGCTAAAAGAGAAAAATGTTTAAACTCTTTTTTAAAAGCATTCTAGTACATTTATAATGGCTCTGAGTGATTAATTTTGAGCATAAAACATAAAATGTACTTATTTGATTAAGATGTCAAAGTTATTTTGGTCATTTGTTCTAATTAAATATTTTAATTCTCTGAAATCTCAGTCTGTGTTTACATCTTTCAGTGTTGTTCTTGCCCTTAGTCTCTGCCTCGCCTTCTGATTGGCTGCTGAGCTCCCCACACTCCCCGCCTCGACTCCTGATTGGCTGCTGTGTCCCGCACGGCGTGTTTGCGCTATCTCGGTGAGGGTGGAGCTGAAATGGTCCTCAGGCGGCGGCGGAGTTAGGTGAAGGCGCGCTGCTGGTCAGAATGTCGGTGCTGTACTCGGTGATGGCGGGGCTGGCGGTTCTGCTGCTGCTGCTCCGCCGCTGGTTTCCGTACCTGCTGCACGACTTCATTTACTTGCTGAAGGGGGTTCGAGTGGCGTGTCGGCTCAGGCGGTTCGGGGGTTCGGTTCCCTGCTACACGGTGCTGGACTGTTTTCTGGACGCTGTTCAGAAGCAGCCCGAGAAGAAGTTCATCATCTTCGAGGGTCAGAGTTACTCCTACCGGGATGCGGACAAGATCAGTAATAAAGTGGCCCAGGCTCTGCTCCGGCAGGGGGGCCTCAGGGAGGGGGACACGGTGGCTCTCTTCCTCGGAAATGAGCCGCTCTTAGTTTGGATCTGGCTCGGAGTGTCCAAACTGGGCTGCACGGTGTCCTTCCTGAACCACAACATCAGATCTAAATCTCTGCTGCACTGCTTCTCCTGCTGCGGAGCCAAAGCCCTGATCGCTGGAGCAGGTACTCAACTCTACTGTACTCTATTATTCTGTACTGTACTAAACTATACTATAATGTACTCAGTTATACTCTATTCTACTCTACTGTACTCAGTTATACTCTACTGTACTCTGTTGTTCTCTACTATACTGAACTATACTCTACTCCATTCTATTGTACTGTACTCTCTTTTACTGTTTTACTCTACTGTTGTACTCTCTTCTACTCTCTTTTACTGTACTCTATTCAACTATACTATACTCTGTTCTATTGTACTCTATTTTACTCTGCTCTATTCTAATGTACTTTGTTGTATTGTACTGTACTGTATTATATTGTACTGTATTTTATTTTACTCTACCGCACACTATTGTATTCTACTCTACTCTTTTTTACTGAATTCTACTCTACTGTACTCTATTCTACTGTACTCTATTTCATTGTATTGTACTCTATTTTACACAGTTCTACTCTACTGTACTCTATTTTACTCTATTCTGCTCTAATGTACTGTTGTACATTGCTGTCTGCTGTACTCTATTCTTTTCTGCTCTGTACTCCAAATGGTACTTATTGTATTGTACTATATTTTACTTTATTCTATTCAACTCAACTTTACTCTGTTCTACTCTGTATCAAAGGTGGAAATTGTAAGGTTTCATTGGCGAAACTTTATTGGGTTTGTTTCATTAGTGGTGTAGTTTTTTGAAAAAAATGAAAAACATGGAGTTTTAACTTAGGGGATGTTTTCCACAACTGCTCACGTCTGATTGGTCAGAATATTCCAGCTCTTGGCTTTAAACACTTGCAGGTCAGTAATGAAAAGGTGAAGGAACTCTGAGTTTGGTCAGGGGTGAGGGCGGCGGGGGGTGGATAGGGGGGCTGTATCTGCCTCATGTATCAGCTCATATACAGATAGTGTTCTCAATGTGATATTATTATTATTATTTTTTTTTGTTTAGTTTATTTCAGTTTATCAAGGTGTTTACACCCATACAAATACAAGAAAAAAAATAATAATAGGTAACACAAAAATAAAAGGAAAAATTATAGTTATATAATTAATGGACATAATAATATAATACAAATATAATATAATACAAGAACAAGTACTGACCGAAAAGGTGTAGTCTGAAACTATAGCTTATTTTGACTACCCTTTATAAATCATATACAGTCCTGTGTTTTTTTTAATTGCAAAGTGAGCTACACATTCTTAGTTCCTTTTCACAATTATTCCACAAACATACCCCTTTCACAGTTATACATCTATTTTTTATATTTGTCGTTGCTATTGGTTTTTTGAACATATGTGTTCCCCTAAGTCCATATTTGTTCTCTTTAATTGCAAACAGCTTCTGAATACCGTTTGGTAGTAAATTGTTTTGTGCTTTGTACATTATCTGTGCTGTTTAAAGGTTGACTAGATCACTGAATTTTAAAGCATGTAATTTAATAAATAGTTTATTGGTTCGTTCAAAATAGCCTGATCAACTTATAATTCTTATATCTTTCTTCTGTAGCATGAAAATAGGTTTGGTGTTGGTTTTATATGTGTTCCCCCATACCTCCACACAGTAGGTCATGTATGGAACTATGAAGGAACAGTACAGTATATAGAGTAAATTTTGATTCAAGATATCTTTAGTTTTATATAATATTGCAATAGTTTTAGACATTTTGTTTTTACATTATTTATGTGCTGTTTACAACATAATTTATGAACATTTATCACACCCAGAAATTTGTTTTCATAGACCCTTTCTATTTCAACATCATCAATCATAATTTTAACTTTATTCTTGTTTTGTCGATTTCCAAATTTAAATTTAGGGATAACTTGTTAATATCAAACCATTTCTTTAAAACTTTCAATTCCTTTTCCACTGTATTCAGTAGCTGTTCCAAACTTTTCCCAGAGCAATATAAATTAGTATCATCAGCAAATAAAACTAATTTTAGCAATTTAGACACTTTACAGATATCATTTATATACAGTGTAAACAATATGGGTCCTAACACTGAACACTGTGGCACTCCACAAGTGACTTTCAATAGTTTAGACTTGATGTTATTTATTTGTACATACTGATATCTATTATCAAGGTAACTCTTCAGCCATGAGTATGCTGCTCCTCTAAAACCATATCTTTCCAATTAATTCATTAGTAAGTCATGATCAATAGTGTAAAATGATTTTTTTAAGTCTATAAACACCCCAACAGTATATTCCTTGTTGTCTATTGCAGTTGATATCTCTTCTAACAGTTGCATCACCATCGAGGTGGACCTATTTGCTCTAAAACCATACTGACGATCACTCAATAAGTTGTGTTTTTCTATGAAACTATTAAGCCTGCCTACAAATAGTTTTTCTAAAATCTTTGAGAACTGGGGGAGCAGAGAAACTGGTCTATAATTAAAGAACCGGTGCCTGTCTCCACTTTTATAAATTGGAATAATTTTTGCTGTTTTCATATTATTGGGAAATATACCTGTTTTGAAAGACTGATTGCAAATATGTGTAAAAGGTTTCACGATGCATTCTATAATAGTTTTAACTAAAGACATGTCAATTTCAGTCCAATCAGTGGACTTTTTATTTTAAAAATTTTTCACAATATCCAGAATTTCCTTTTCATCAGTTCTCCTAATGAAGATGGAGTAGGGTTTTATGAACAATATCTTCATCTACACCATACTTATTTTTTTGGCTCTGCAGTCTCTTTTGCTAAATTAAATCCAACATTTACAAAATAGTCATTAAATTCATTAGCAATTTCTTTGGTTTTACTTATAATTATATTGTCTTTTTTACAAAATAATCTGCAGTGTCTGCTCTTCCTGCACCCTTTTTAATGATGTTATTTAGCACACTCCGTGTTCGTTGAGTGTTATTCCTGTATCGCTCCAATAATTTCTGCTAATATTCCTTCTTGCTAAATCTCATAAGACATTGTGTTCATTTATTTTTATACATTTATATTTGTTTTCTGCTTCTTTTGTTCTATGTCTTAAAAATCTCTTATATAATACATTTTTCTTTTTACATGCATTTGCTATTCCTTTGGTAATCCATGGTTCACCGGCATATTTATGCCTTGTGAATTTTTCATATAACTGCGCTGCTGTGGGGCTGCATTCAGTGACTGGGCCGCTACGGAATCTGCGCTACTGTAATACAGTGAGGAGGTTTGACGGTACGTTTAAGTATAAAGTGTGAGTGTCCACTGTGGGTAATGATCTTCAGCCCCGGGGAAAAAGCTGTTAGCATGTTTGGCTGTGCTGGTTTTGATGGTCCTGAATCTTCTACCAGAGGGGCATGTCTGGAAGAGGTGATGTCCAGGATGAGAGGGGTCAGCTGTAATTTTGCCTGTGCCCTGCTGCTTTAGATGGCCTGAACTGTTGGCAGATACATCCCATGATCCTCTCCACTGTCCTGATTATACGCTGGAGTTCTTCAGCTGTCTCAGGAAGAACGTTCTCTGCTGAGCTCTTTTGGATATGGAGACCCTGTTCATCTCTCACTGCAGGTTCCTGGATATAGTGGTGCACCGGAACTAGAGATACTCCACAGTTTAAACCACAGAGCTGTTGATGATGAGAGGGGGTAGGGAGGCGGGTTGCACCACTGTCTCCACTTTCCTTTCCATGTTGAGCAGCAGGTGGTTGCTGCTACACCAGGAGACCAGCTGCTTGACTTCCTTTCTGTAGGGAGACTCATCCCCGTTGGCTTTGAGGCCCACCATGGTGGTGTCATCTGCAAACTTCAGGATCTATACAGCTGGTTCCTTAGAGACACAGTTGTTGGTGTAGAGACTGAAGGGAAAGTGTGAGAGCACACAACCTTGTGGCACTCCCATACTGAGGGTCCAGGTGTCTGACGTTTGCTTTCTCCTGTTCATCAAAAAATCCGTGATCCACCGGCAGAAGGGTTTCCATCACTGAGACTTTAAGCACTGCACTGGTCTTATGCTGCATTCACATGTTTGTGAATGCAACATAATTCCATTATTCCACACCTTAAAGCGGTACATGGCTGACAGCAGCATGAAGCTACACAAATGTTGCCATGGTAAACGTGGTGCTGGCAAAAATTTATGGTTATCAGAGGTGAGCTTTATCAGTGTATATTGTTTATTTAAGGTGGAGTATAATATTGAGTGCATCTGGAATTCAACAACAAGACATTTGGCATCCATGGCTTCAAAACATCAAAACATTCCACCGCTGCGTTCCAGGGCAAAAGTTGGGAAAATTGAACTGCAATGAAAAGAGTTTCCGTAAAACAAGAACTCCCACTTCAGAAACGCCCCCTCATCTTTCATTGGCCGATATATCTGCAAAATGGCTTCTCTCTAATGGTCTTTATTCAGCAGGGGTTACTGTGGTGCTGCTGGCTTGCACAATATAACTTTGACAATGTTATGTATTGTTGACTATCGGCCAACCATGTGTTTATTTTCCACAAGCCCACCTGCCCCTGACATCATGTGAGGTTCACACATGGTTCTGCAAATATACCCTCCTCCCCAGTGGAGCGTTCTGCTCAGTGCTGTGGTCTGCAGAACGTTGCCGCTTGCAATGCCAAAGTTTTGTGTTGCAGCTTAGAATTTTCTGTTCAAGGCAGGATTAGTTGCACCAAGGCGTAAATTTGGTTATGTAACTAATCATCTCAGCTACAACTAGGATTCAGATTTTTCAGTATGATAACCGTTGCTCTGAATGAATATCAAATCAGCCATTTTACTTTAAGTGCACCGCCACACAGATCCTGTCTGTAGCTTTAACTGACACACACTCACTGATGTCAGCCATCTGAGCTGGGAGAGTCTGCGTGTGTGTTTGTTTATGACATCAGATCGGGGTTAGTGTGTGTCTGTAAGTCAGAGTATACCGAATGGAGTGCAGATGTAGTCGGGAGTAGGATGTGGAGAATTAGCGCATTTTATGATCAACGTTTAAATGTTCACAGGTTTTGACGTTAGAGATTAAAGCTATAAACGGGACACTCTGATCTG